TGAGGGTTAATGATACTACTCAGTTGACCAGACTGAAGAGATGGTTAACAGGGGTTAGAACTAAAAACCTACTGACTGAAAGTTAGATCCACAAACCAATCAGCCTCAGCATTAGAAGGAGAAGATGGTAAACCCACAAACATATATATATATATATGATACCAGCTCGAAGTGGTCAATCCCGATTCTACTGACTGACAAACTGTTAATCTTTCACACTCTGTCCTCTATCTATGATGTGCCACCAAATTACTATTATTATTATTGCCTTGGGTTCCTAGTGGAACAAAGGGCTTCAACTACACGTCTCCTCTTGCTTCTATCTTCTGCTGTACTTTTCACCTGCATCCACGTTAGTTCATACTGTTTCAACTCTTCTGCACACAATCTCCTCCATGTCACCCTTGCACCGACGTCCCACTCGCCACTTCCCTTTCGAGTTCTACTCGAGCATTGGCCTGACGCGCGATGTCACCCAACGGCCTCCTCAGCGAGGGTCCAATCCATCTCCACTTTCTCCTGCATATTTGTCAGGCGATTGGTTCTTGTTTTGTTTGTTCCCATAGTTTCTTGTTGGTGATTCTTTCCAGCCATCTGATCTTCAGTATAGAGCGAAGACAGCTGTTGATAAAGGTCTCCAACATGCTGTTGGAAATATTCTTTGTGACTCGCCAAGTTTCTGATCCGCATGGAAGAACTGACTGACTTCACGTTTGTATTGAAAATCCGAATTTTGTTGTTGATGCTGAGTGACGAAGATTTCCAGATTAGTTTCAGGTTGATGAATGTGTTTCTCGCCTTCCCAATTCTCGATTTGACATCCTCGTCTGTTCCTCCTGTAGTGGAGACAATGCTCCCTAGACAAGTGAATGAAGTAACCTCTTTGAAATCCCTCCCGTTGATGGTGATTGGCGCTGGATGTTGCTGCTGCTATTGTTGTTGTTGGCTGGTTATTTTCATAACCTCCGTCTTGTCTATGTTCACCTGCAGTCCTTTCTTTGCTGCTTCTTCCACCAGTTTGTCGGTTTTCGCTTGTAATTCTTCGATTTTGTGTGACATCAAACATAAATCATCCATGCGCGAAATCCAGGTCTTCTAGATTCTTCACGTCGGTCAAGGACATCCCTGTCTTCTCGTTTCCCACTGTCTGACGCATAATCCAGTCCACCACAATTAGGAATATCATTGGTGATAATAAGCACCCTTGTCTGACTCCTGTGTTTACTCTAAACGCCTCGCTGAGTTTTCCGTTGTGGATCACTTGACATGTGCTGTTGTCGTACAGCTGTTGAATAAGGTTGATGAATATTTGGGATACGCCGTAGTACTCGAGTACCAAATGCACTGCAAAAAATAATTGGCGAAATCTATTGACCAATGAATACATAGTGTGTATCTATCAGTTTGACCGCCAATTATACTGGGCGTATCACTAGGCATATTCATTATCGGATTTCTAAACATCATCAACCTGCGTAGTTGAGCAAAACACGATCTACCCGCAGATGCGTTTTAATAGACTTTGTAAACATTGAATATTAATAAAGTAGATGTTAACAAGGCATTTGAAGTTACCGACTATTTTCTGACTAATTTTAATTTTGCCTTATAATTTCGTCTTTTACATATATATATATATATATATATATATGTATATATATATGTATATATATATATATATATATATATAAAGCCATCGAAATCCACCCAAAGAAGCCTAATTCACGTGTTCAGAAAGAGTTCGTACAGAGTCCCGCCTTCTTTACCTTAACCATCATTAACTTGATTGTAATTTTTATCTCTCTCTCTCTACCTCAACTTCATTAACTTTGAAAAGACTTTCGACAGCGTCGATCGACAGGTGATTTGAAAACTATTTCGCTACTACGGGCGCCGCTAATAATTATACATCTCATCCAACAGTTGTACGACAGTGCTGCATGCCAAGTAATCCATAACGAGAAACTCACAGAATCCTTCAAAATGAAGATGAGAGTAAAACAAGGCTGGCTGGCTGCCTACTATCTTTATTGATTTTCCTGATTCCTGTATACTGGATAATGCAACAGACAGACAGCGCGCAACGAGGAGACAGGCATAAAATAGATCCACACAAAAAACTTGGAAGATCTAGATTTCACCCATGATGAAGTATGTCTGATTCCCTACAAACTGGAAAATAAGCAAATGAAAAGCAACAAGTTGGCAGAAGAAGTATCCAGAGAAGATAACACTTCAGGTGAACATAGAGAAAACAGAGGTGACGAAGATTCCTAGCCAACAGCAAAGGCGACAACAGCAGACAACAAAGAGCTGGTATAAATGGGAGAAATCTGAGAGAATCAACCTTCTTTACCTACCTACCGACCTGAGAAGCATCGTTTCAACTACAGGCAGACGGAACTGATGAGGATATCAAAGCGAGGATCGGGAAAGCAAGGCAAGCTTTCATTTCTCCCAAGTTTGTGTGGAGGTCAACAACACTCAGCATGAAAAATAACATGCGGATTTTCAACTCCAACGTGAAGTTAGTGCTACTATACGGATCACACACTTGGCGTTGGGTCACGAAGAGCACTTCCAACAAACTACAGATCTTCAGTAATAGCTGTCTTCGCTCAGTGCTCAAGATCAGATGGATAGCCAGAAAAGATCAGAAACAGGGAGGGATCTCTGGGAGTGAACCAATCCAGCAGCAACCAATTGTGCAACAAATATGCAGGAGGAAATGGAGGTGGATTGGCCATACTTCGAGAAAACAAACCATCAAGTGACATCACACACCAGGCCATCGCTCGAGTGGAACGCGAATAGGAAGTGGCGAGTTGATCGTCAGCGCGAGGGTGACATGGAGGAGGTCATGCGAAAAGGAGATGAAAGCATGTGGGCAGATGTGGAGCCAAGTGAAAATGTTAGCAGAAAACTGAATGCAATGAAGACGTTTGGCTGAAGCCCTATGTTCCTCTAGGAATTAATGGAAATAATAATTGTAATCTAACAATTTCGCCTTTTGAATTGTCGCAATAATCTCCCTCCCCTAATCTTACCTGATATTCAATTTACTATGAAATTTCTGTGAATATTTAGCACTTACAACACATGCACGTTTGAACTGTAATTAATTAAGAACACAATAGTCAATTAATATTTATTTAATCCAAAAAAAGAGGAAGATTATTGAGAATAATAAAACAGAGATCAAACACACACGCGCGCGGATAACACAGTGGAAATACACAACTTGCTCAATCACATCCCTTAACCGCACTGTGACTGTGTTAACCGAATAGAATAAGAGAAAGACAATAACATTAGGCTGAAAGAAAATAAAAGCGAAAGACAAACGTAAGCGTAGAACAGCAACCTGCATTTTATAATAAGATCTATCAATCAACATCCATTCTAGAAACAGAAACTATATATATTGCGATGAAGAAGCAAAAAGAGACAAAATTGAAAGAAAGCGGAACCTCCTATCTTCCCCCTCCGTCACTGTTCTCTCACTATCGACGAACACACTGAAAAAAACCCACGTATGAGTTGCAAGTACACCCACCTGGTTACGAAACTACACGAATATTAATTCACAAAAATAATACTAAACAGTAATGACACAGTAAAATGTGAAGGTTGATATCATCAATCAGATCAGTTATTTTTCAAGATAGCTAAACAAACGATAACACTAATAGTATTTAAAGATGAAATAGACAGAAAATGAAGAAGATTCGCATGTGATTAAACTTTTTCTAATTTTACATGGTTTTTCGTGTATTTGTGTGTGTGTGTGTGCGTGTGTAAGAGATAGAGTTTATCAGTACAGCGATGATCATATGAAGGCGTATATTATTATTATTATTATTATTATTATTATTATTATTGACAATAATATACACTATAAGATAGAAATTTCGATTTGAGTTTAAATCAATCCATGAGCAACAAAGAACATGGAACGTGGAAATATTCAGTCAAAAAGCGAGAGAAACACTCCGATAAACACATACACATACACAGACGAACAAATAAAAAGAAGGAAATATCAATAGTAGAAGGGTCAACTATAAAAGAACTTTATTTAATCTGTTTTGTAGAGGATAAAAAAGGCAAACAGAATCTACAAGCATGAACAAAATGGCAACAACGACAACAACAACAGTAACAACATGAATAACGGTATTACTAGGATTCGGAGGAACAGTAGTGTAGCAGTAATAGTCGAAGAAGCTGGAGGATTTGTTAACATCAGAATCAAAATGGCGATATTATTGTGTAGATGTGTGTGTTTGTAGAAGGAGGAGGGGTCCTTTAAGTTACTCTTCTTTTTCAAAAAAGAAAACACTAAATAGATGATTACAAAATAGTAATAATAATAATAATAGTAAATAAATAAAGCAAAAAATAATATTAACGATGGATAAGCTATAAGAGTTCATGACACACACGCACCAATACACAAAGTGAATGATGAAGTGACTGACTCAGGCAACAATCAAAAGAGGTCAACCACAAAAGTCACAGACACAAACCAACTAAATAATAAACACAATCACTGGAAGTCAGACAAACAACACCTAGAATGTATACAATAAAATTTCATGAAATTAGAAAAAACAAAGCATATACATCAAAAAAGAGTAAGAATACAGATAGGTACCTGGGAAATGCTTCGTCTATACACATGCGTACGCACACGCACATACACACACAAATTACACATTATACGGAACAATTATATGCTGGAGAAAGTAGGCGCACGCGTGTGTGAGTGTGTATAAGGAACTTCTTGTTGTTGGGTATGAGAAAGAAGACCATAAAAATGTGGTAATCAAGCGAAAAATATTGTTGAATGAAGGGAGAAAAGTTCAGAAAAGAAAGAGCCCAAAAAAATACTATCAGGAGCAGTAATATTAGTAGTACTAATGGTAACAGAATCCTGTTGATTTATTCTGTTACTGCTTGATAATAATCGAACAAATCAACGCATATTAATTAATTAATTAATTCGACTGTACAAATTGATGTGTTTTCTCAGCAAGATCAATTAATGAAGCGTAAAGATGTGAAGCTGATGAAATAGGATAATAATCTGTTGTCTTGTGCTCATAACTACTGTTGACTCCTGTTGATGCAGAAGTGTTACTACTTGTCAGAGAAGACGATGAAGAATTGGACAATTGATCAGTAGAAGGATTGTGAGTAGGACAATTATTGTTGTTATTGTTGCTGTGGTTTGAATGATGTGTAGAATGTTTAGGATTGAAGGCTTCTAGAAAATAATTTGCTAGTTGAGCCAGTTCACGACTAAGTGATTTACAACTAGCTTTACGCGCTTCTGTTTCATGCAATTGTTCTAGTTGTCGAATTTCATTCGGTGAAAGAGGCGACTGAAAGGAATGGAGATTGTAAAATAATTAATAATAATGATAATAATAAAGTGGTTTATAAAGAAATATTTTATCTCATCGTTATGCTTAGTGGATTAAAATATTGCCTTAAAAGTAACAGCAATAATAATAATAATAGGAAATGAAAGAAAGACTCAATTAAGCCATGCTCAGACCGAATAGTAACACTACGGTATTACCATCATCAGTGAAAAGACCTCTGACAACTGTAAAGGGATCTGACAAATGCTCTGAAATTAAGCAGTGCAGGTGTTGCAAACATTTATAAATCTCATTTAACACACGTAAATGATATCATACGCCAAGTGACTCATAACCAAAAGGTCAGTGAAACCTTTGAAATGAAAGACAAGACCGTTCCAAGGTCAACGCCTATCCCCATCCGTCTAATTGTGGTCAACTGGATCATCATGCGAAAGAAGATGAAAAGAGAAGAGGGGCATACGTTATAAGATCTAGACTTCAAGGATGATTCATGTCTCACGTCGGACATACTCACAGACTGACAGGCAAAAACTGACAAGTTGACAGAAAAACAAGCAAAGACAAAACTTCAATCAATAACAGAGACCATAGAGGTGGTGAAGATATCGGATCGTCATCAACAACAAACACCAATCACAATCAGTGGGGAAACTATAGAGAGGGTATTCTTGGCGGCTCACCAAATCCAGATCGCTTTAACAACATGCAACATGGATGACAGTGTCAGAGGCAGCCACAATCAGGAGAGCAAGACAGGCTTTCATATTGTTCTGAAATCAGTGTGGAGATTTACACCACCCAGCACTCAAGTGGTCAAAAGAAAAAGAAAAATTACAATAAATTTTCTCCATAATGGAATTATACTCTACCACAGTGCCCAAGTTTTATCGTTATACCTCCCTACCTGAGGTTTAGTAGAAGCTTAATGAGGTCTACTTCATTTGAAATATTACTCAACATCCACACCTATTATTAACTGGCTGCTTACACCTTGGTAGATGGAATCGAGTTCAAATCCGTGAACCCCCCCCCCTGGTTCGATGTCGAATCTTTTAGATCAACGAGGCACAGCTCCATAGAAGTTTAATAGGACCAGTTTTGGAACGTGTAATGAAAATACATTCGTGTTGTAATAAAAATGAACTATACTTTACTTAATACAGATAGGCGTAAACTACATTAATGCATAAATATAGCAAGTAGACAATCGACTACAACTCAGTTACTTGATGTATATATATCACTAAGTACACGGTCGAATTCAATAATGGAAATAGGCTTCGCATACTATCCGATTCTTAAGAGTAAAATCGGTGAAGAAAGATTTATATCCAGATATTCAAAGTCAACGTCTTCAGCCGATGAGCCACACTATTCTACTGAAGTAACTAAACAAAAATACTAATACGACAAGTATAAATCATACACAGAGAGAGCTGATTCTCTGCAAGACACGTTAAAAATCTAAATGACACACCATACACTAAAAACCACACAAAAATAGAGCAATTGGAAGTATGGAAGTGTAGGGGCGGTTGTTACTTCTCAGATGTCCACACGGTAGAAGTCGATTTGTTCTTGAAGTATAGGAAAGAGAAGAAGCACAAGTGTCGCGTGACGTCATAGCCCAGGAGACAACTGCTTGCCACCGTCCATACACGACCTGTCTCATGAATTGGTTTTCTGAGCTGCGCTCCTAATAAGATCTTATCCCTGGCTACGAATGCACACAGTAAGGTAAGTCCCGATGTACAATTTCCAGGGTCGATCTTTTCTAACCCCCATCTTCAAAGCACAGGCACGATAGCCGGTATGTTGTCACATCTTTTTTCTCTAACAATACGACATTGCCCACAGACCCACAACATAGTGTAAAAAAAGCTACACTATATCGGTAACCGCTTTCATTCTAACCTCTATCGAAACATCTTTTCTGATATGATAGGATCTACAGGAACATTAATTCCAGCCAAAGTAGCGCTCGTCGGTTGATTGCAATATGCAAGTTTTACCACGAAGTCAAGGCAGTAGTTATCGGTAGGCCAACTGGAATTATGCCTTTTGCATGTATCATAATGATGATGTCTGCTGCTCACATCAACCAAAAGTATTTGTCAGGCAAATTGATGTGAATCTAAATGACAGATGGTCCTTTCTTTTTTCAAGAAGTCATCAGCGATGCATAGGGAATGAGTCAGTCGATGGGATCGAATCACTTCTTCCCCCCTCCTTATGAATTCGGGCTAGCTACAAAGATCAGCTGGTAACACATATATAGGAGTGGATTCATCGTTTGCAAATTACTCAATTCAAGGTGAGAATATATATATGTATATATGTAATTGGGTAATCAACTCCATAGGAAAATAAATACGAGACACATAATGATTAAATTAAAAGCATAAACTATAAACATACAGTAATCGGTAGACGAAATTCTTTTATCAGTCTTGTTCGTAAATTCATAAATTGCTCCGATGATAACAGACCATCTGCTTGTATTTTTGGTGGTAAATTAACCAGAGCTAATAACGTCTTGGCTACAACCACCAAAGCCTAGTTATAAAGATAATCAATAATAATAATAATAATGACGTAAGTGAGAAAATGGCATGAAAAGAAGAACATTGTTGAGAATGTTATTTCAAAATATTATACGGATAAATGATGTTGACACTGGGCAACCATGATATTTTATCATTATCAACAAAACAAAAACTCAAAACTACGCAGACACACTGATCCTAGGTTTCCCAATGCTTCTCTAACCAATGTCAGCTCATGATGAAATCCTGTAAACACGTAATTTCTCTTAAAGTGGAAAGAAACCCACAGAATCTTATCCAAACAAATCATGAAATTGATAATTGATCTTATGGAAAACAGATATTTGACTGTTGACTTTTATCAACATGGTTCATCCACTTGGAGGTAGAATTTTTAACGAGTTAAAATCATAAGGCGAACCACTGAAAATCAGATGTCTTACATGATCCGGTGGAAGAGTTCATGCTTATGATTTCAGATTATTTCATCGTCATTTGAATGATGTGTATCTTCTGAAACTATTGTATCCTACATTTTGATTCCTTTCATTTTTTTTGTTTGCTATATGTGTTGTGAGTATTGTGTTGCAATTTCTTTCGAATGGTGTATTTTGAAGCTAAATCTTCACTGAACTCTCGCACAACGTTCATTCTGTCGTCTCATAATAGTGAATATCACTCACTGATGCATATTATAATATTTTCTTGAAAATCGTTGCTACGTGTTTCGTGAAATTATTGTTGGCTCCATGAATTCATCAGTCAGTCTCGCTTGATGTTGTACCTTGTTCACTTTGCCATCTAATCGAGGATGTTAGGCAGTTTTCGTCTAATTATAGCATGGTCTAGATATGGTTGTCGAAAGGAGGAATTAGACGAAACAGCCGTCCAATTCTTGAAAAGGGGATAAGACCAAGTCGTTCAAGAGGTTTCAACCTACCTTTTCTGTCTACAGTGGAAACTTTTCCTATACACAAGGAAAGCTCTGGACTGTATATATACTGAAGCGGTTTATCCAGTCCCTTTTAACTAAAATAGCCCTAAATACTCCATACACTTTTTAACTTGCACAATAACTTGATACATAATCTACATTTCAAGTATTGGTTTGTAGGGATTTGGTTGATTGGTTACAGGATTTCATCATGAGCGCTGACATTGGTTAGAGAACCATTGGACAACCTGGGAGTACTGGACAGCTGTTTCGTCCTGGTCTTGGACTCTTCATCAGTACGCACCCAGGACCTTCTGGTTACAAGGCTAGCGAGCTCGTAGACCATTAAGCCACTGGGACCCGATCCGATGTTCTATGAATTCTAACTTCTGCCAATACCTGAATATTACTGAAATGCTCACTGGTGACTGGCCCTATTCACAGCTGTCCAGTACTCCCAGGTTTTCCAATGGTTCTCTAACCAATGTCAGCTCATGATGAAATCCTGTAACTAATCTACATTTATTGGGTTTTACCTTTCCTCTTATTCCTTCCTCTCAAACTATTAATCTTAAAATATAATTTACTTATATGCTTATTTTCCTAATCTAGTGAACAGTATTCCTGTTCTCAAGCGCGCTTGTACCTTTTGATGGTAAACATTTCTGAGCGATACTCATCATTTGATGTTTTCAGATTGCTTAGTTCATCGTTCTTTTTCCCATATGTTTTGTTACCGATTGAAATGAACAATTAATCCCAAATGCATTTCCCTGACTGTTTAGAGCACAATATAACTGTATGACAATGAAGTGAAATTACGAAAAGAGGATTCATTGCTGACCGGGTTTTAAAAACATTATTTTATAATATAACAAAGAAGCCTTGAAACTTAATAATTACCCGGATAAATTAGTCAGGAAATATGTAAGGAAATGTAAAAATAAAATAAATAATGATACTAGCGACAGTGATAATAACAATGATAATGATAATAGTGATAATAATAATAATATTAATGACGACACCAACAATAAAGAATCTAAATCATCAGTAGTAATTCCATACAAGGAAGGAACCTCGGAAGCCTTACGCAGAATTCTCAACAAGGCAGGAACAAAAGTGACTGGCATTCAAACCCACAAACTCAATTAGAAACAAGCTTTGTTGGTTAAAGGATCCTGTGGAGTCTTTAAAACAAAACAGTTTAGTTTATCTAATACCCTGCAATGATTGTCAGGTCAAATATATAGATCAAACTAGTAGAATAGGGACAGTCAGACCAGCCGAGCATAAAAACCTAGCAAAATCTAGATTGGTTGACCCGAATAAGATAAGAAATCTAGAGAAAAGTTCAGCTATTGCACTACATGCAGTTACACACAACCATACAATAGGATGGGACAGGATGACAGTTTTAAAATCTAATGTCACAGGGTGAAGGGAGAGATTGATAACAGAAACTTTGTTTATCGAATCAACTACAAATACATGTAATAGCAATGATTCATCACCTGTCCCCGATATCTGGAAAATTCTACTACCCATACGACAAATAGGAGAAAACAAAGAAAACTATAAAACTCAAGTGTCAAATTCGTGTGATCACAATTGATATGATTATGAACAATAAATTTTGTTCGAAACGTCATCCAGTAAATAATACTGTTTCACTGTGTGATACATCTAATAAACAAACTAATATGGAATTACTTACTACCACAGTGCCCAAGTTTTACACATATATTAATAACAGAGGAGTCATTTCGACTGCTTTAGTGTGATACACTATACATTCAGCAATAGATGACAGAGTTAAAGTTATACTCTATAATGATAGGAAATACATTTGAATCACTTACAATCAAGAGTTGCTGAACAATTTATTTTAGAATCTTGAAGACCGCGGTCAAGCGGCATACACACCTACACAAATGGTTCATTTAAACAGTAAAAGACTTCAAATAATGGTATCAATTTTTGATTGCATCACCCACTACCTCTTCAGCTAGTTAGCATTATTCACTGAAGAAAGAAGTGTAACACGTCGTCACAGCATCCGTTGATGGAACTTCATAACTTCATCAGTCGACTTAACTTTTTTTAAACAATATTCTTCCACCTAAATTCGTTATTATTACTAGTTGAGTTGATCTAGGCAAAACGGGTGATTGTTTCAAGGCAACTGTATTGAAAGACTCCAGATATCAGCAACCACCTTCAATAGTAGGATGAAGCAAATTCACGCAGAGGACAGCTTACAAGAACCTACATACATAAGATCTTGACAGAAAGTTGCTTTCAATTGATGGTTTACAAGGATTCAGTTGGCTACAGACATCGGTTAGAGAACCACTGGAAAACCTAGGAGTACTGGGTACAGTCAGTTCATCCAAGTTTGGGACTCTTCATCTGTACGCACCCACCGCAAGGGTTCGAAACCAGGACCTTCTGGTTACAAGACTAGCGAGCTGGTAGGCCGTTAAGCTACTTGAACCTGATCTAATGGCCCATTAATTCGAACTTCTGCTAGTTCAAGATATAGCGCGATCACCACTGGCCAATGTCATCAGCGAGTATCTGTCCTCACTCCCGACCTAATGAACCTCACTGGTCACGACTTTTTTCAATTCTCTTCAATCGAAAATTTCACTTTAAAAAAAACTTCAAAAGTAGACGCATCTACGTATCATATTTTTGGTCTAGAAAGTAACATTTCTCTACTGGCCAAATCGCTGACGTGAAAGGAAAGACTCCAGCAGTGTTATGTGCAGCTTTGCCATGGAATGTTGCACAGTTTAGCATTATGTTGGCATGGTCCATTCATTGAATCATTCACAATAAAAAATATTTCTTATCTCATGTGACTAGTTGACAAATGAAACTAGAACTTTACTCAGACATGTATCATCTCAAGCCGCTACACTTCAAAGTAGTAGGTACATAAGAAAAGCAAGAATTAAAAATATCAAATGATACTACAGAAATAAACTATAAGTGTAACAAATAAAATATAGGAGTGTATTCTCCAAAGAGAGTTAGTTACAACAGTATTTTTCTTTACAAGTACCAACCTATGAGTCATTTTTATTACGTAAAGGCTGTTAAAACAAACAATTCAGTTACGTAGGCTGATGTTATTCGAGTGAAATATTCGAAACAACTGGATGAAACTCAGTGTTTACTGGATGACGAAGTTTCGAACACAATTTATTGTTCATATTCATATCAATTATCAACTACGCAATTGAGAAACTTCCATTTTATAGATTTCTTTATTCTTTCCTATTTCTCGTCGTCGGAGTAGTATAATTTTCCAGATGTCTGGGTGGATAGGTGTAGATTCATTTCTGCTATATGTATTTTCAGTTGATTGATTCGATAAATAAACCTTATATGATGAATGAAGCTGTTTCTAGGTGAGTCAAAATGGTTTAATTTAATGCTGAAATCTAATAACCCCAGTAGGATGCATGGTGTTGTTAAACCACCTATAGATGATTTTAGAAATTCACCTACTTATCAATTGCCTAAATATTTAGCTATGGGACTAAATCCTCTTGAAAGCCACTCAAAATCTAGACTAACAAATTCTTATGAACTAAAACATAGATGGATTAGATAATTTAAAATTAGATAGTGAAGAAAAAAATGGTTAGTTTTGGCATTGTCGGTTTATATACACGTATACCAATAAATATGGTGATAGAAGCAGTCAGAAACGAACTCATGTCTGACGAATAACTTGGACTGGCAGTGCAGCTATGCCTGACTTCCACAGTTTTTAAATTCCAAGGGAAAATATACAAACAAACTGAGGGAGTTGCCATTGGGTAGTAAATATCCCTGATAGTAGTAGACATATTCATGGATAGGTAGGAAACTTTGGCGATTGAAACATTCAGACCCACTACCAAAGTATAGTGCAGGTATGTAAATGACATATTCAACGTACTTAGAACACAGAACATGAATAGACTTTTCGAACACATCAACTCGAAGGTAGAGGTAGTTCAATTCACTTATTAGTTGGAAAGTCAGGAAGGGGAGCTTTCAATGTTGAATTGTAGTGTAAAAAAGGAAAGAAGGGAAATTAAACACTAGTGTTTACAGAAAACCCACAGATTCAAACCGATAGAGACAATGTTAAGCGTGAAACCTATGACTTGCTTTGTTATTAACAACATAATTTTAGGCTCTTTTATTTCCCTCTTATTTTGTATTCTATAGTGAACTCCTTCTCAAACATACTTAGCTACCTAAATTATTAACATTGGCTTCCTTTTTTGTACTTCACTATATTCCTTCTATTGTGTATCCACTGGTTCCGACTCTGTTAGCACTATGAGTATTACAAAAATCGTCCTGTCATTAATCATCATGTAATTATTAGTTGTTGTGGTTGTTTTTTCTTATTTTTAAAAAATTTTTTTCGGCAATATTAACTGACAATCATTGGTTGTGAACGTCATTATCACCACCTTAAAAATTTTGTATTATTCAGGATTACTCACACTACCACTACAAACACTGCATTAGACCTGACAATAAAAAACAAAACAACAACCCTGAAATGTTATTTTAAGATTGTTTAGAGTTGTTTCAACCAAATTAACTGACCATCTTGGCGATAAACACTCTTAAATATCATTTCATAACTTCTTGTATGACTATAACTTTACTGTCACCATGCATAATCATATCATAGCTTCCACTACCCAATACTGAGTTATTATTATATGATATTTATTTTCCTTTCTACTTCTTGGTATTTTTTCGCATTTATAATTATTTTTGTTTTTATCCTGTTTTTTTTGCTGTTCATGTCTTTAGATTTTTTTTTGTTAAATACTCCTTTTAAATGTTTGTAAAATTAGATGCAAATATTGTAGATATGTGCTGAAAATTCCACACTGTACCACTAGTACTGTTTCTGGAATAAAGCAAATTATTATTATTATTACAGATCATCCCACCCTATGTCAGCAAAGCCAGGACTGATGAAAAGTTTAAGCGGTTGGCTACAAAAACTAAATAGTACCAAGGAAGATTTTAGATAGGAAGTGAGACATAAGAGAAGCTTTGAAACTTAATGATTACCCTGATAAATTAATCAGGAGGTATGTAGGTGACCGTAAAAATAAAATTAATAATAATAACAACAATGACATACATGTCAAACATTCACAGAATGATGACACTAAGGAATTTAAATCGTCAGCAGTACTTCCATACATAGAAGGAACCTCGAAAACCTTAGGTCGAGTTCTTAACAATGCAGGAATAAAAATGGCCTTCAAATTAACAAACTCAATTAGAAATAAGCTTTATCGGTCAATGGATCCTGTGGTGCCAATTAAACAAAATAATTTAGCTTATCTAATACCTTGCAATAACTGTCAGGTCAAATACATAGGTCAAAGTAGTAGCAAGGAGCCAGTCAAGCTAGTGCAGCAAAAAACCTTCCAAACTTAGATTAGTTCAGCTATAGCACTACATGCAACCAAAAACACAACCATACAATAGGACGTGATTAGATGACAGTTCTAAAATCTAATATGACAAGTTGGAGGGAGAGGTTGATAACTGAAGCTTCTTTACGAGTTTGACAACGGATTGATATTAGTTAGAGGAACATTGAAAACCAGGGAGTACTGGAGAGCTGTTCCACCCTAGTTTGGGAGGCATCCGCAGTACGCATTACCGCGGATGATTTTGAGTCAATTCATCAGGTTTGCAAATATTTATTCTTATCGTCATCTTGGGAAATCAGCCTAGCAACTTCCAATGTTATTCAGACCAGAGTAATTACTGACTTCTGTATAGGCGCCAATATGTGACCTAATTCAACCAAACGTCTTTCTATCTCTTACCAGCACATCCGTCTTTTCTATTCATAATTGATAAGATTTTGAGACACAGTAAGAAATAAGGTGGTGAAACTTTAGCATTGAAGCCGATTGAAATTCTATACTTTGTTTCTCTTGATTTTGTATGATGCACAGAAATACACCATTATTTATGAGCACAATTTATGTGGATATTAGGTTCATGTGAACACTCAATTGACATTGCCTAAATAGATATTTGGAATTTTAAGTACTCATTAAAACTTAATCAACAAAAGAGATTACTGTTGTGTTATAGGTAAACCATATTGAGTCGATAAATCAAGATTCTGTTGTCCATAATACAAACTGACTGACTGATCTTCAAAGCAGAACTTACTAAACTCCATGTACCACAAAGGTACAGGAAAGGTAAAATTCAAAAGAACTCGAACACACAACCATACAATAGGATGGGACAGGATGACAGTTTTAAAATCTAATGTCACAGGGTGGAGGAAGAGATTGATAACAGAAGCATTGTTTATCGAATCAATAGGAATGATCCGACACCTGTCCCAGATATCTGGAAAATTCTACTACCCATACGACAAATAGGAGAAAACAAAGAAAACTATAAAACTCAAGTGTCAAATTCGTGTGATCACAATTGATATGATTATGAACAATAAATTGTGTTCGAAACGTCATCCAGTAAATAATACTGTTTCACTGTATGATACATCTAATAAACAAACTAATATGGAATTACTTACTACCACAGTGCCCAAGTTTTACACATATATTAATAGAACTCGAATGAACGGGAGAAAGAAGTGAATGCATTAGCGCCAAAGACAAAGATTTTGAGCCACACCAACAAGTCTCAATTAATACGGTTTCTAGAGTTTCGAGGACCCCAGCCAGGCATCCTCCACCGTCCTACATGACTCGAATCAACTGTCAAAGACTTCATCATTTGATGCCAGATTTTGATTCGATCGCTCCTAACTCTTCTCCAAACCTCATGTGACAGCGGCTAACAGTGCTTAACGAGGAAGGAGATGGTATCATGTCATGTGTAACTTATGCCTTAACCACCTCAATCGATGTTGCTTCACAACCTCATCAACTGACCCCCCCTTCTTACTTGACACTCTCTATGCGCAACTCCAATATTACTTTATTATTAAACCATTCAATAAGAGGGAGGACCATGCACATGGTCCGGGGTTCGATACCCGGCCGGCGCACTCCTTTACCTCGCTAAACCAGAAATAATGCTGGTGAAGAGGAAAGGTTGGGCATGAGATTAGCAACCCCATCCTGTAAAATAAACACTGCTACAGAAACTTCAAGCCACTAGCTTGAAGCCCTATGTTCCACTGGGAACGTGAAGGAAAAAAAGTACAAACATGTGTACGCATAAAATTAAAACAATTATCAATAGGAAACTTCAGAATTGAATGTTTCAGTCTAAGGAGTAGGTTAATTCAGCAACTTCATCGAGAGCTATGGCATCCGCGAAATCAAATACTCACTGCACACTTGTATCTAGCTACTTCTATAATTACTACCGATTGAACAACTCTGTTAAACAACTCTATGCAGTAAAAATCCTACAAATAATATGGACACATTTACTACTTGAATCATTTGCTTATATACCTCCATCTACATACTGTAAAAGAAACAATTAAGTTAATAATAATAATAATAATAATAATAATATGTACTTACATCAGATGCATGAGACGGAACAGTGGGTGAATTCACACTAGAATGCAACTGAGGATAGGAAGACCAAGAAGAACAAAAAGGACTCGACACAGAAGAATGAGGCTCACTAGAAACACCGGAAGTCCAAAATCCGGATAAAAGGCCATGAGTAGATCCACTAAGTGAATCTGACCGACCTGTTTTACCCCAACTTGATAAGACTGGGCATAAACCACGGAGAAATACTAAATTACAGACAACCACATGGCTATGATTAGGAGGATATAGGGCCTATAAAAAAAGAAAGGAACAAAATGAATTACACAATAAGGCTGATATAAAACATTTATTCTTTGTATCAATATTCACATACTGTATCTTTAAATAGATACCAATCTATAATAGTGACTTTTATATTTCATCAGTCTACACACCTAAACAGGAACTAACGAGTCACAAGATCCGAAACCCTTTCCATACACTATATAGTGGACAGTTAAACAACACCTCTAAACCTCATTAAATAAGCGTGTCTCACTCCATCATAAATAAATCTGCAAGCAATTGTGTACCTGCATTGGTTCGAAAGCTGATCTGCAATATTTCTAAACTGCTGTCGAAATTACCATTATTTCTCCCTTAGGTTCCATGTGGAAGCGTACACCATATCTCCATTTCCTCCTGTTCCCTGCAGTCCTCTTTAGCTATCATGTCCTCTTCACATTATCTCCGTATCACCCTCAGATGCTCAACTCCTCGCCTCTCGCTTGCACACCACCCAACAATCTGTCTGCCAGCTCTGAATGTCTCATCAGCCTACTTCCAATACACCTCCAATCTGCAATTAGATGGTAACCAGGAGACGCAATTCTATCATATATGGAGAATTTAAATCATCAGTTCATTTTATGCTAAAACTTGCACTGAAGATGTTGTCTAGGAGGATGACGAAAGCTCCGCAATTAAACCAACTAGCTCAGACAACACAACTATTTGCAAATCATCCACCTGAGCTACAAATCTTCGCTATTATTTAAACATCTCTAATGTTTGCTGCATATTACTTCAGCAATAGATTTTTTGTTAGGTCGTTACCACAGCTCTTCGTTGCTTACCGTTTCCAGCTAACCATCTGATTTTAATTATCAAGTGAAAGTAGCTGCTGATTAAAGTCTGCAGCCTGTTAGCATCTTATTATCTACTGTTGTTTGTTTCATCATGAATCGATATCATCAGTTGGAGGACTTGTGAAACTGGAAAGTACTAGACTGCTCTTTCATCCTAGTTTAGGACTCCTCGACAGTGCATACTCATGATCCCACCGTGGACATAAACCACGACCTTCAGTATATTATTAGGCGAGTATTTTACCGATCAATCAGTCACTGGAACAGAATCCATAAATTGTAACTTCTGTTGATTTGTGTTATAATACAACGCCAGCGCCAGTCATCAATGTCATCTGCGAGTATTTGTCCCCACGCCTACCTAACTCGGTGGACAACAACATAAGTTACAACTTTTCACTAGAACTTCGGGCAACTTAACCTAAGATTACTTAATTGAAGTTCAGTAATTACTATCTTTCAACAGAAAGATTTATTGGTTATAGCAATTCTTCATGAGCTGACATTGGAAAACCAGCTGGGAGTACTGGACAGTTGTTTCGTCCTAGTTGTGGATTCTTCATGGGTACCCGTCCACCAGGGTTAGAACCGAGACAAGACTTTCCGGTTACAAGGCGAGCTCGTAAAAACCGTTAAGCCACTGGGACTCAATTCAATGACCCATGAATTCTAGCTTCTGCGAATTTACGACAAAAACCAATACTTGAAGAAGGAGTTATGTTGCCTCACAGAACTATCTCACCCAGGATTATATTCAGATACACAATGATTAAGAGCAAGACAGAATTGAACAATGTTGGTAATTCACTCCATATTGGATTATAGACAGGCACATACTGATTGCTGAAATGACTAGTTTATGATTGTAGTATCTCTTAGTATTTTTATTTTTAATATTTTCTGTATAAAACCAATGATTATTAATTACTGTGTAATAATACAAATAAGGAAACATGATCATATATATACATACATATATATGTATATGTCTACCCCCCACCGGCAGAAAATTTAGAAAAACATGTTTATACCTGCAATTCAGAATAGATCCATCGCATTTGTAAAGGGAATGTACGAACATGTGAAATAAGATCATCTACAACAATTGACAGGAGATAATAATGCCATTCTTGTACACGTGTATGATGTTGTAGTGAACCTGAACACAAAAAAGCCATAGCAGTAATAAAAAATATTATAATAATAAAAGTTTTATTTTCTAAATAACAAACAAGAAATGAATTATACATTAAAACACAGTTTAGTAACCATGCAGACATTTTATAATTGCATCAGAAACTCTACCTACTATATAAAGCAGGTGGTAGGTAAATTAGCTGCCTCGACCATGATAGACAGAAGATGAGCTAGATGAAAACTATGAGCTAATGTTTGAACCTTGGATAGAATAGATCAGAGAGCGAAACAGGGATCGACAACAGGCATGGCTATGTAATCATAGAACTGAATGACTCTGCCTCACCACCGCCTGAAACAACCGCTTGCACATCTGTACACTTGACAATCAGCCACATATATTGTGTGAGCACTAATGACACTATGTAGTGACTCAAACCTCGGCCGTAGTAGTTAGCAGTCGAATGCACACACTGTAATGGCTCACCATAGTTCCACACAGAACTGACGATTACATAATGAAAGGAAAATACTGTGTAGTTTGATTTCTTACACACAGTTTTATCACACTGGTCATTTTCATCTACTTATTTTACATTTACCCTATTCCCCCCCCTTAATACCTTTCTACAGATTTCGTTTCAATCATTACCACCATCCTATTCTCCCTCCGACTATATTCTACTTGACGTGGAATTACTTCAGAAACATGGTAATAAGGATGATGATGATGCAACAGTTTGACAACATTTTTAAGTTTACTTATGGTCTGGCTGGTGGTGTCGTGGAGACGCTTAGAACCGATGGTTGAATACTATCATAGTGATATCGCTGAAAATTGTTCGCAATGGCATAAATGCATTGCTGCAACTGTGATTATCTAGATTCATTAGCACCTCAACATTTTTCATGTTGCATGGAGGATTTCATCATGAGCTGACATCAGTTAGAGAACCACTGGAAATCCTAGGAGTACTGGACAACTGTTTCGTCCTAGTTTGGGACTCTTCATCAGTACGCACCCACCGGGGTTCGAACCCAGGACCTTTTGGTTACAAGGCGAGCTCGTAGGCCATTAAGCCACTGGGACCCGATCCAATGGTACTTGAATTCTAACTTCTGCCAATTCACGACACAGCGCGATGTAGGATGAAACAGCTGTCCAGTACTCCCAGGTTTTCCAGTGGTTCTCTAACCGATGTCAGCTCATGATGAAATCCTCCATGCAATCAAACAAAATCCCTACAAAACCAATACCTGAAAATTCTTCATGTTGTTATTCCTCTTTCCATTTTTATTATAGTTCCTTTGTATTTCTTTTCTCAATCTTTATGTGTAATTTTATGAAGTGTGCTGCAAAGCTTTTATGTAGGAAACTCAGTCAGTCATATGCTGATTAATACAGGCTTTTTCGAATTATGCATTGGGGTCCTTTGCCGTTGCCTCTAGTTAGTTACAATTCATCTTCCCACAATTATTGTATAAGGGATGACACTAAATAGTTGACCTGGTGGGAACAGATGAAGCGAAGCTCTAACGCTGAATCTATTCGGTTAAGATTCAGTCAAGTTCTCAGGTCAACAAATTATATCTTCTCAAATTATGCCATAAAATTATTTGTAAAATACCAGTATATACAAGGCCATATATACTATCTCCGGTGATCTTTCTATTGGTAAGGTGGACTGGATAATGTGACAGACCCTGGTGAGTGTGAAAAGACGGTGACACACACAGGGCTGGTAGAAATACCCTTCTTGTGCCACATATACTCAAAAAGTGACTACCAAAAATCAAGAAGCTTATTCAAGAGGCGACGAAGAGTATACTTCAGGTAAACATACAGAAGACTGAGATAAAGAAGACACCCTACAGCCAACAACAACAACAGCAAAAACAAACACCAATCGCCATCAATAGTAGAAATCTAAAGACAATAGGATCAGCCAGACAAGCATACATTAGTCTGAAATCAGTGTGGAGATCCACATTTTAAAACAATTAGTACAAGGGACAACTTACGAATTTTTAAAACCACAGTGTCTAGTCAATGCGTTTATATGATGCACAAACTTGACTTGCGGAGTATCAATAAAAGCATTTCGAACAGCCTGCTAGAAATTTGCACCAACAGGCGACTTTGCTCGATATTGACGATCAGATGGCCGGTCGGAAAGGATAGACAACAAGGAACTCTGGCAGAGAACCAACCAACAACCTAATGCTCAGAAAATATACATTTAAAAAATGGACATATGCTAAAGAGATAATGAAGTGACACATCAGGCCTTTAAATGGAAGCCAAACAATGAGAAGCGACGAGTTGGACGTCCGAGGGTGATATGGAATAGATCATGTAAAAAGAAGATGAAAGATAATGGGTAATCGCAGAGGCAACTATAAGAGACAGCACAGGACAGAGTGAAATGGGGATGTGCTTCTGAAGCCCAATGTTCCAATGGAAATCCATGGCACAAATAATAATACACAATAATCACTGCAACCAACTGAGTTTAGAAAAAAGCTACCTAAAAAGAAATGCAGGATTTCCAATGAATGATTTAGTTTTATCTTCTCCATGAAGAAATGTGTATTGACACCTTTTATCTTCATAGTTAAGTGGGGTTAAAGAGTTTTTCTCCATTCTTCACCTACCCATTTCGACAGGGGTATCTTATTAGAAAACTTAAGTCGTAACTACTGAGGCATAACTGACAACCCAACCAGGATGCACGGTTCGAACTAGTGACAAATCCGGCCTAGTGTGTCAGGGTTATTGTAAATAGCTAAACCAAGGTGAGGGGTTTAGCTCCTAGACCACTGAGTCACATTTTTTCAACAACAAGTTATGCCATGATTCGTGAAATTCTCTCTGAAAATATATTTTAATGCAAAGATGTAAGGGCATCATAAGCACTGACGAAGAAGCTTTTAGAGGGTTTACATAGGCGCTTTTTTCCTTCCTTTGTGTTCCCAGTGGAACATAGAACTTCATACTTGAAATGTGAACTTTCAGTAGCAGTGACTTTAGGTTTATAGAATGGGGTGGCTAGCCACACGCTTAACCTTCTCTTTCTTCACTGGGCTTACTAACAAGTTGGGCGAGCTGTAGGAGTATGTCGGCTGAGAATCAAAACTAGATCAAGCCCATAAGTGGCAAGCATTCTACACCACTGACCCACTGATGCATTGTCTACACAGGTAAAGTGACCTCATTCTTGAGTGCAGAAACAAATCAGTGTGACAAAAAAATCTTTCCTTTTTTCTTGTAGTCAAGCTTATAATGCACTGACTGAATCAAACGAATAATAAAAGTGTCATTATTTGAATAACTTACTCAAATTTGATGTAGGAGAGGAGGCTTGATCAAATGTTACAGTTGTAGCAGCTCCAGTCGACAATGAATACGGTCGTGTTGTCAATGATTGATGAGAATTTACATTATTTGTACACTGATAAGCATTCCCAATACCACAACGTTGTTGGTGACTTGGTGTAGACTTTGCATTATTATTATTACCATTACAACTATTATTATTACTACTATGAACTTGACTACAATTTAAAGATGGATTTGACGATGAAGTTGAATGACTAGATGTTGGCAATGGTCCTGGAGGAGGACCTTCAAGTGCTTTTTCGCATACACGTCGAAAACATTGACTTCGCCAAGCTGAACAAACAGTATTACTATACATGTCTAGAATTTGTGCTCCTAAAGAACTACTCCGAAAAGAAGTATCTAAGATTAAAAAAAGGAGAAAAACGCTTTACAATAACAAGCTTAAAAAGACGGAACAAACAATCGATTTCCATTGACTAAGACAATACTAGAATTCCAATTCAATTATGACAACCACCTATCTGACTTATCTTTTTTTATCATCTGAAAGGATGGTTACGCAATACAAATAAATATTGTCTGTGATACACACATTATGATTTATCAGTGTGTGAAACGTGTAATAATCAAAGAGCTGATCACCTGGAAACTACAAATGCACGCATCTCATTCGTGTTAGTTCACTTCTAGGAAGTGCAACATGTTATTATTTATCGCTTGACGATGACATTGGACACTTGATCAATGAATATTTACCAAAAGTCCCTGAGACTACACTTGAGTTAACGTTGGGACTATGATTTGGCCGATATAGAACGATATATAACCCGTTAATTCAAGGTTTATTTATGAACAAGTAAAGCAATCTCCTTAGTTTTAGTTGGCTATATACTACTGACAAGAGTTTTTTTAAATAACGTACACTGTGGCATCATCTGCAAATATCTTGCGCAGAGAAGAGACAGGTGAAAAGTAACAAACATGGGGAACGAAAATTGCTAGTTAACATAGGAAGTATGAAATGAATAGGGAGAAAAAGAAAAGATGCATGAGGTAGCACAGAGCAAATAGTTTGTGTGAATTGGATTTCGCCCCCTATGCATGTAATCTTTCTTAACATGCATTGGTGATCCTCATGTACTTCGTGCCAACTGATATCAGTGCCTTCGACTAGATGAAAATCCCCTAGGCATCAACTTCCTAGGAGCAAGACATATAGAGTTACCTGGAGAACTTCCAGGTAGTTGTAGAGTTGGCAGAGAATGAAGAGTCGCTGGCTAAGGTGAAATGTCGAGAGAAGAGTGGAACAGACAGGCAACAGACGAGGCAATAGAAGATGTCACACTGTAACCTACATACCGTAGCACATTTTATTTTATTCCTTTACGTTCCCAGTGGATTGTAAGACTTCAAGCTAGAACTTTGAGGTTTCGGTAGCAGTGGTGATTATTTTTACGAGGTGGAGTTGTTAGTCTCACGCCCAACCTACCCTCTTTACCAGTCTTACTACTGGCTTAGCGAGGTTTAGAAATGAGTCAGTCGGGGATCGAACCCCGGGCAATGTGTACTGCTGAACCACCGACGCACCACTGTAGCACATAACACAATAAAATGCAATACTCAAGATTTACAGTGAATATCTTAATGGCTTAGAGAATAAACTAGATTCACAATACCTCTTGGATTACCAACATCTGCTAACAGCAATTTAAAACAGATAAATAACACTAACAGTAGTGACGATAATAAAAATAATAATAGTAATAGTAATATCAACAATAAATCTTACTTGGTTTATCATTATTTACATCAATCCGTAATAAATTGACAATTAATTCCAAATGGCAATTCAATTCAATTGTAGTTAAAAGAAGGCTGGAGACAAAATTCGCTTTTCTTACATCAAGCGCTAAAGCACTCCAAACATGTATACACAAAGGTACTAATTCTGAATGCAAACAATTCAGTATTGTCTGTGTAATAAAGTCAAAAACAAAAATAAAAATAAAATAAAACGACATTAAGTAAATTAGACGCACAAAAAAAGAATTACTCTGGAATATGTAAATAATAAAGAATTCCTTTAATTAACTGAATATACTGATGTTGTTAGGTTACAAGTTATCAAGATCCAGGTTCGACTCCTAGCCTAGAGAATCTCAAACCTCGTCTAGCAGGTAGTAAAGCCGGTAAGGAGGGAAGGTTACAAGTGAAGTATGCTAGCGACCCCACTCTGTAAAACAAGGAAAACACCGCTACTGAAATTACAAGGCTCAAGCCACATATTCCACTCAGAAGACAAAAGAATGAAAAAGGGTTAAATCGTCTAGTAACCATCTTAAGAATGGATATCATGTGTATCAAACGCTCATAATGGACGACAACTTGTCCGTATCTCCAAGAGGACATCAGTTACTTCAGTGTGGCGGATACACAAAGAATCACGGCACTTATGTTAATGACTAAATTGCTTCTAACCACGTATAACTGATTTAAAACGCATCACAATGACGAGTCAGATACGTTAGTGACAGATAGTAACTGATAGAACCTAATGACGTCTAACACTACAGAGTACATGCACAACACAGGTTACTAACTAATGACGAATGCGATACGATTTCGGTTGGTGATGACTAGCATTGGATTCTGGGATGTGCATTTCGTCGCAAACAGAACTTGTCAGTGGATGTTCCTGAAGTCCCCCCACCCAGTAAGTGGTGTTCCCACTTAGAATCAGATTTATCGTTACAAACGCCAAAGCATTATCTACTAGGCCACGGGAAATGCAAATGATTTAGGAATGCGAATTCACTATAATAGTTCACGTGCACACAATCAAGGGATTATCAATGTTGATAAAGATTAGTACTATAAACGACAGACTTATTTTTCTTATACTATACTCTCATATTCTGAAAGCGACATTTATTATTTATTTATTTTTTAAATTTTGATTACAGCTTAATGCCACACCACATTTACAGTACAAGTATGGAATTTTCAGCATGAATACCGGTAGCCCACATTTAGCAGGCCGACCATTGATATCGGGTGTGCATCGGCAGGGGATCGAACCCCGGACCATGTGCATGGTCGGCGAGAGTCCCAACCACTGTGCCACCGACGCACAAAGCAGATGTTTCGGCCCAGGTGGATACTACTAGTCTATCGCTCATGAGCAGTGTTACTAAAAAAACACATTTGGTCTCATAAATTTGTTCTCTAAATGATACACCACATCTCAACTTATGAAAGAAAAAACAAGAGGATACAATTTACATTTTGGTGATATATATACACTACTAAATAGCTACTACTGAAAAATGTAAATTTATACTCAAAAGATATATGTGACACTATATCACCGATCGACAGAAGCTGAAAATCATTAATCCTCTGATTCCCAGCCAGTGGTTGGATGGAAACATACTCACCTTGCGACTCAACAGTCCTAGATACGATGTCTAACATGGATTTCATATAACAAGAGTTACTGAACTTGTTTTTGTTTTCAGAAACGATGATACATAAACTGTGAATGTCAGGAAACATAAGACACTTGCTTCTATAATAATAATTGTGCGCATATTCTTCAAGTATACAATAGAAAAAGCCTGGAACTTTGATGTTACCTGTCAAGTTTTATTGTTTTTTTTTGACAAGATATAGATGGAAAACAAAAATAATCTGTAATAGAAAAGTTTTCAAATCATGACGAAAACAATTCGCATGGATATTTTATTTCTTGGAATACACTACCCACCTTCGTACCTATGAAATGCATGAAGAAGCATACCCTGCTCAACAAACGCATACAAATTTCTGCACAACTGGCGGCTTGCTTAAAAATTGGACTACCAAGAACTTCCATCTCGCTAGTGCATATATTCCCTCTCGTTCAGTTTGTTATAAACGATTAAGATATGACCTCTGTTGATACTATCGACTCTGGTGTGTATTTAAAGTGTTTACAAGCGCACCTGATTCGCAAATTCCTACTAAACTTGAGGAATGGCCTAATTGTGGGTGGCAACGTGTCCCATTGCATGAGATAACTATTCTTCAGTTATGTCGTTGGGTCTCAAAATGTACTTCTGAAAATCTTACAATTGGCTTTCAACTAGATCGATTTCGTGGATTTCTTGAAGGAGACAAAGCAGATATATCATAATGGAATGGTTTGTGATTCAGCTTAGAGACTATTGTGTCACAGGATTTACTGTCAATTAATATTTTACTTGAAGATGTTGTACGAAGGGGAAATATCATGTAATAAACTATTCATTTTATAAATACTGTCCAGAATACAAAGATGTTATTTCTAAAAAAAATAATAAATATATAAAAGCAATCTTTGACTTAATTGTCTAAAGCTCTGTAACATGGTCTGATCATTCATAAAACTAACATTGTCTCCTATAATAATAATAATAATACCATATTATCAGCAGCGTGCTTGAATCACTAGACTATCTGAACTTTCAGCCAACGTAATACATCGAATTTCCTCTATTTCTTATTGTTTTAATCATTCATTTATGTGATTGGGTCGTGAAATCTACTTTCACCCTACCCGGTGTGCATTTCTCAGAGACGAAGAGAAAATATCATAAGGGATTAATTAGTCTATGTTTTGATTTGAACAGCATTGTATCACATGCTATTTTGGTTGAAGATCCTGTCTGACTGTCTGGCACCGAAGTGCAGCAGTTCCAGTTGCCACGTTCCAAATAGCACACAAAGGTAGACAAGAAGATGAGTGAAGAGAATCAATAGAGTTTTGACAGGTATAAAAGTGAAACAGAATGAGTAATGGTAGAAAGGAATATGAAAGATTACAGAGACTGAATACATCTGCGTAAGCCATTGACAACGATTTTGAGCCATGTCACCTATTGTCTCCAGCCATTGATTCTTAGAGTCCCGATGGCGGGCCCCAACCCGGAAGTCTGCATCTCCCTACCTGACTCAGTTCAACTGTCAAGGATTTCATGGATTGATGAGGCCATGTTTTTGTTTGGCCACCACTTACTCTTTTCCAAACTGCACCTATATCAGCTAGTAAGGCCCGTCCGTCGGGGAAGGCGAAGGTTAGGCATGCGCAGCACGTGACCTGGCCATCTCAATCTATGGAACTTTATAGTCTCTTCGATTGATTTTCCCTCTTTGCCCAACACTCTACGCCTAACGTCAACGTCACTTACCTTATTATGCCACCTAACGTGAGAAAGAGATCGTAGACATCTATGATCAAAAACAGTCAACCTTTTCATGTCTTCAACTCGTATTGGCCATGTTTCAGAGCCATAGAGAAGGACGGAGCGAACTTCTGAGCAGTACACACGTCCCTTGGTTGATAGCCGGATGTCACACCTACGCCAGAGATGGTGTAAGTTAGCGAAAGCAACCCAAGCATTTTGGATCCGTGTTGAGATTTCGTCGCCAATCAGTCCGTTGGTGCTGATACAACTTCCCAAATAGGTGAAGTGGTCAACATGTTCTATCACTTCACTCCCTATCACTAAGCTAGGAGTTGACATAGTCCAGTCCTGTAGCAGCATCATACATTTTACAGGGGCAAATCGCATGCCAAACATACGAAGATTGCTGCTCAAGGTGTTCAGAAGACTCTGCGTTTTGTCAGCATCCTCCCCTAACAGGACTATGTCATCTGCATATTCTAAGTCCATAAGACTATTCCCTGGTAACAAGTCGATTCCTAAGTCGTTAAGTTCAGTTAAGGATACTTCCACTAGCTTATCTATGATGAAGTTAAACAGGAATGGGGAAAGTGGACATCCTTGACAGACACCACTGGTTGTTATCAATTCAGATGACAATTCCCCATAAGCCCTTACATGGCTACGTGAGTTTGAGTAGAGTGCCTTGATAAGTGCAATGTACTTTCTTGGCACTCCCTTCACAGTCAAACATTGCCATAGTACCTTTCGATCCGCGGAGTCGAAGTTGAAGATCCTGGGTGAAGGGAAAGTGTATTACTCAGTTAATTACTCTAAAAAATTTTGAATATTGTGTAAACATTTTGTCCATAATAAAGCTGTTATTATTATTTTTAAAATAAGGAAAACAGGTTAACATTTGGCATATATATATATATATACATATATATATACTAGAATATTCAACCGTTTAAAATACATATTCTAAGCTAACAAGATAAGACAAACTGAACATAAAAACACTGTAGTATTAATTACCTGACGAAAACCTTCATAAAATTGAAATGGTATAACATGTAATTCTCTATGAATAACCGTTATCTGTCCATTACTACGTTCTTGTTTATCACAAATAGAATAATGCAATACTGCTGAAGACGAAGATAATGAGGATGAAGAAGAGTGAATGACAGAAAGTCGTTTATCATGATCAGTTGTTGCAGAACAATTGGAATTGCTCCCCTGTTGACGTGCACCAACATTGTATTGTACAAGATCTAAGTCTACGGCAACTTGATGAAAGAAAAAAAAAGAATAATCAGAGGGTATGAAAGTATACAGATAGTAGCATTAAATTGAATAACATAATGTGAAATAATAAACATAAGCAACTAACTCGCAATATCTACTTGGATTTCGTCAGCAAGCAATGTGAATTAACAACGTTCATGGACAGTGGGGTTCACCATGTTTAGTGTGCAGAGGACTGTCATCACAAAAAGACAAAATTGAGAGTCGGTGCGCCATTACTACTCCGTGTCTCAGTGGCAAAATGTTTGACGTGCTCGCCTAACAACCTGAAGGTTCTGGGGGTCCAACCCTCAGTGCGATCGTGGGCTAGGAAGATATCTCTAGAGTGGTGCTGTTAGTTTAAATTATTCCCTAAATGATGTACATCTGTGACGCGATCGCCGTTTAAATTATTATAGTATCTACACAAGGCAAAAATCGAATTCGTAATACGTTTTGGGATACGACGGATATCAACTTCATGGAAAGTTTAACTGCTTGCGTGTGGCTTACAAAAAGCTCTTCGGGCATCAATACTATGCCCCAACGTACTATTCGGCTTACTTTCATGATTGTCATTTATGATACAACGCAGATAACAATACAGTGTGATTTGAATACTCTGAGTTTATAGAGAAAACCATGGTGAAGTTTAATCTTGGACTGTGTAATTTGTAAAAAAATGATGTTTTCTCACAAACTATTGTTTTATTTGAAAGCAAGTGAGCATAGAAAAGATGGAGGTGATGAAGATAACCAACAAACCACCAACAACAAGCACCAATCACTATCGACGGAAAAAATTCGAAAGCGGTCACTTCCTTCACTTATCCAGGCACTATCGTTTTAACCACAGGCAGAACTAATGGATATGACAAAGCCAGAATGGGAAAGGCAAGGCGGGTGTTCACCACTCTGAAACAAGTTTGGAAATCTTCCCCACTCAGCATAAACAACATAATTCGGATTTTTCAACACCAATGTCAATCCAGTTCTTCTATAAGGGTCAGAGACTAGGCTCGTCACTAAAAGCACTTTCTACAGATTTCAGGCTTTTACCTTCGCTAACTTCATCTTGAAGTAAAGATGGCCAGAAAGGATTAGAAAGAGGGATATCTGGGGACGAACCAACCAACATATACGCTGAAAGAAATGGAGATGGATCGGACACATGCTGTGAGGACATCGCGTGCCAGGCGATTGCTCGAGTGGAACCCTAATGGGAAATGACAAGTTGGGTGTGGGTGACATGGAGGAGGTCGTGTGGCGAGGAGATGGGCAATCTTTTGGCCAGTTAAGAAGGACTGCAGAGAACAGAACAAATTGGAGATGTGCTGCTGACGCCCTATGTCCCACTCGAAACCCATGGAAATAATAATAGTAACGTGACGAAAGTCTATTCGCTTCATTCATTCTGTGCCGAGGTTAAGTTACTCATACCTTTAAGATTCACACTAATAAAACATTTCATATCCAAACAGAAATCCCAATCACTTTTGAACTGAATAGACAAACGTTAGCATATTTCATTATAAATGTGTGACACAATGCAACCGCGCAATTTGTGTCATTCATATATTGAAAGGCATGTACTGTCATGTACACTGAACGATCTATATATGAGATCATACAGACGCTAGTTATTGCCTCATTATCCGACTCAAACAACAATATTAGTATTAATCAATCTACACTGACTGAAGAATAAATAATGGAAAAGAAAGAAACTGAAGACGTTCTATGGACAGCCTTCTATTACGGTTCACGGCACTTTAGTAAATCCTAGCGAACATATGCACCACCTTCAAAGAGGTACGGTGATCGTTTCCTTTAGCATCCTCAAACCGTTATCTACTTGCTGGCGTACTATTATTATTCAGTGAACGACTAATCATATTGAGATGTAAATGATGAAGAAAATTGTCGTTCTGACAAATTATTTCCAACAACAAAAGAAAACCACACTGTGCAATAGAATTTGTTGTGTAGACAAAAAAAATAAGCCCAAATCAACAGGATATGTGTGGTGAATGCTAGAAAACAGTTACGCAATAAAAAGGAAAATCCTACATCGGTAGGAAGGGAAAGAATAGTAATTATGGGAGAAGGTAAACTTTAGACCCTAATGCCCGTGAAACGCTCAATCAACAAGTTAGTGAAAGCAGATAATTAATACCATGATCGGGGGTAAAATGTGCTTAATGAAGTGGTGTGACATTAAACGGGATGTCTCGTTAGTTTTAAGTTAGGGACAAACTGACCTAATTAGAGAAATATTGGTGTTAGGTTAGGCTATAGATTAAGGCAGGCAATGGTTAGGTTACAGACATATTAGGGTTAGGTTTAGAAGACTAAATTTACCTTTCGGCGCTACAGCTTTTTCCAAGGTATTTAGTGTGTTCGGTCCTCTTTGGTGCCTAAAGTTTAATTTTGCCGCATTATGTAACGGATGTGGAAATAAACTATCTACAAGTACAAAAATGGAGACTCAGTTGGGAAGAGGGTGAATTAAAATACTTATAAAACGAGAAGTAATCAGATAAGAGAAAGTAAGACTATCTGAGAACATATGAGATGAGTCAGCACACTGGCATCGATATGCGTGATAGTTTAAAATGAAATGAAAACTCGGATCTCTTGATTCAATATGTGATTAGGATTGACAGAAGAAGACGCAGCTGAGCAGAAAGTAAAAGAGCCGACAGTATCCTCTATTAACGGAATAAATTTAAAAGAGGTCACTTCCTTCACTTGTCTAGGAAGCATTGTTTCAACTACATGCAACAGCACGAATGAGGATGTCAAAACCGATATCGGAAAGACAAGGCACACCGTCATCACTCTGAAATTAGTTTGGAAATCTTCTGAACTCAGCATGAGGGACAAATTCGGATCTTCATCACTAATATCAAGTCAGTCAGTTAGTCCGTATGGGTCAGAAACTCGACACGAGAGTCACGAAAACATTTCTAACAGCCTGTTGCAAACTTTTATCAACAGTTGCCTTTGCTGGCTCCATACTGAAGATCGGGTGGCTGGCCAGAAAGAATTACCAACAAGGTACTCTGGGAAAAAAAAACCAAGAACTTATTGCTCAACGAATATTCCGAGGAAAATGGCGATGGATCAGACAGACACTGAGGAGAGCGTTGGATGATATTGTGCACTAGGCAATAGCTCGAGTGGAACCCGAATATGAAACGACAAGTCGGATGTGGGTCTGAGGGCGAAAGAGAGGCGATCATGTGACGAGGAGATGAAAGCTCATGGGACATCTTAGGGTTCACTAAAGAGGACTGCAGAGGATAGGATAACATGGATATGTACTGCTGAAGCCCTATGCTCCAATTGCAGCCCAAGGTAAAAATAATAATAACATATCATTCATTCACATGACATACAGATATTGCTTGCGATGAATGTATTGAAATAATGACCTAGTTAGCAGGTGGGTCTCGTAGATCAATTGCCAGACTGTCATACTGAATGTTTCCTATAAGCTTTCACTTGTCTCTTTACGAGCGTTTTAGTAAGTGCAAGTGCATACTACATATATGCGATTACGACTAAACCACTTAAATTAACTGAAAGAATTTATTCTTCTATTACCCGAAGGATCAACGAAACGGTCAAGAATTTGTACATTAGTCTATTTTTAAATGATATATTCCCATTTCTAGTCGTAAAAATAGAGCCACAAACTCTATGATCGACTGAGTTTCAAAACAGAACTTTGCATAGAGGTCTAGTAGTTCAGCTTGCTTCAGTCGATGTAGGACACAGAGGTGGAGAAAAGAAAGAAAAAAATTCGAGTATTTAATGGACCTGAGAGACTACAACGACTGAATGCATTTGCACTACTGAAAACGATTTTGAGCCATATTAACCAACAGTCTCAAGTCACTGGTTCATAGCGTCTCGAGAACTCTAACCAGATACACCTAACCTCCATCTACATGGCTCAAGCCAATAGTTAGAGACTTTATGAACTGACCCCAAGCTTTAGTTTGACCAACTCTAACTGTTACCCAACATAATCCTATGTCAGCTAATATCGTCCGACGAAGGTGATGGCTCAGTTTGTGCAACACGCACAACTTTAGAAAAATTTTGTGAATGTTATCCTTGTTATGTGAGATAAAGAACGACCGATAGAATCTTCTAAGCACTTTCAACAAAATTCATTCATTAAGGAAATGAAAACAAATGTACTATCCACTGCACATATACCTCATCGACTTAAGCACTCGTTTTTCAGCCAACAGGCATGGATTTCGAGTTACACTCTTCACCAACGTCACCCCGGGCATCTGAATATCATCATCACGCCTCATACAATAAGTGTGGTTTTTACCGGTTCAAACATTAAATTATTAGTTGTTACTTAATAGCAATAACTGTAAAATATGGATTTAGAAGACAGTTTCAATTTGGATTATGATCAGTCTTTCTTGTCCTTAAACTCCACACAGTAGAGCGAATGTGTAAAAGTGTGGTGAGAGCAAGCTGCTAGCCGATTGGTAGACATTGATCTACGCTGATTGGTAGAAATTAATCTAGGCTGATTCAACAACCAATCACAGCTGACCTAGACGTGGACAAATATGATTCGCAGACAAGTGGCTCGCATTTCCGAGAAATATCGAAAACGAGAAAGCAGAAGACTGCGTTTGTTTGCAAACAACCAATCAGAAGACCGCCTTCTTTCTGCGGGCAGAAGCCTATTAATGTACGTAAAATACATATAAATACCTGTTGGTTTTCGTAATAAAACTGATCTGTTGCCTGGCCCTTGTCTTCTGTTGTTACAAAAGTACTACTTGCGCTCACTGCAAAGCACGTTTATCAATTTTCTTGTTCATGACTGATTGACTGATTTCAACAGAGAACTTTGCACAGATATACGTCACTTAGAGTTGCCACATTCCATGTAGCACACAAAGTAAGAGAAGAGAGTAAAGAGAGGTTCAAAAGAGAGATAATAAACATAAGTGCCAGGGAAAAAGAATAGTAATATGGAAGAACAATAGAGTTTTGTTGGACATAACAAATCTCTACAAGTGAACGCATATGAGCCATTGAGAACAATTTTGATCCATGTCACCAATTGTCTCCAGCCATTGGTTTTTACCATCCAAAGGACTTCAACTTCTTGTTCATGTAGAGTAAGGTATCCTAACCACTCGAATACCATACCAGAATGACTTTGTTAACTTCCGTACCACCGGTACGTAGACGAATCACTCAAAATTTGCAGCTTTAAATCTGATCCATACACTCGAAACCAGTATACACGTTCATTCCCCCCCCCCCCGCCGATTATTACATGTTACTGTTGACTGTTTTTTTATTCTTGTATAAATGCAAATTGAACACTTTACCATCTTTCTAACACTATATATGTATGTAAAGTGCTTCCCTATCGTTCATTATTCTTATTGAATAATGATTTTCTACCGTACACTACTATTATCCAGCTCACTTTTATTTATTTATTATTTATTTATTTAAACGCAGAAAAGCTTGGTACAATATGGCACCAAGAAAGATGCGCCATACAATAATAATAAAACAACATAGATTAAAAGTAAAAATATAAGTAGAAAACGGATAAAGAACTTCATCAGGAAGGAAAACAGTCATGTTTAACAAGTTCAAACAGTATTCGTTAACTATCATCAGGAAGGGAAGAAAGAAGGAAATTGCAGCACGTTCGCCATTGATTACGATTCTTGGCCATATCCGATAACGTTTCGAGCCATCGATTCGAGCTATCTCGCGGACCCCAACCAGGGAGTCGTGACACACCAACCGATGCTAATCTAGCACAAATGTCCTTCATCATGGACTGACCACCCCTCCGTCTTTTCCATCCCGTCCCAGGGCTGGCGAACAGAGACCTGTACGGAAGCCTCTGGGATGACATTCGCAGCGCATGTCCAAGCCACCGGAGCTGGTGTTTCCAGATGACGACACTCAATGAATAGTGATCTCCACTGTGTTCAAACACACGCCGCCGAACCTCAGAATTACTCACGCGATGATTCCATCGAACGCAAGCAATCCTGCGTAGACAGCGATGATCGAACACACAGAGTCGCCGCACATCCTCAGCTCGGAGAGGCCAGGTTTCACAGGCGTAGAGCAAGACAGCCCGCACCGAAGCATTGTATACCCGACCTTTGACAGCCAGGCTAACGTCGCGACGGCGCCAGAGGTGGCTCAAGTTGATGTATGCCACCCTAGCCTTCATTATACGGTTGGAAATCTCATCCATCACCCCTCCGCCAGCACTCACACAACTACCCAGGTACACAAACTTATCAACAACTTCAAGCGGTTCATCCGCAAGAGTGAGTGCAGGTACAGGCTCCTGCCAATCTTGTAACAGTACTTTGCATTTAGACGGTGCAAAGCACATACCATACTTACAGACACTTTAATTTAAGTAGGTGTAGACAACAGACTTCATGTTATTAATCCACGAAGTGTTTGACAATTGATTTGAGCCATGTAGGGACCGTAAACTGCCTTGTTGAGGCAGTCAAGAAGCTAAGAACCAACAGCTTCAGATTATTGAGCATATAGTTCAAAATTGTGACTAACGGTACAGATGAATTCACTCCTTACAACCTCACAGATCCACTAAATTCTCATGTTTTTTCAATGTTACTATTCCTTTTTTCCACACACACACACATCTGCTTATTATAGTTCATTTCAATCTCTTTTTCCCTTTTGTGTATTACTTGTGTACTATTGTCGAGTATGGCAACTTGAACTACTTGACTTCTATGCAAGGTTCTATGTGGAAACTCTATCAGTTATCCACTTGACTGTAAGTTTATGATCTGTGAACAACAAATTCAACTGTTCAAAATGATTATCTCGAAACGACATTCTCTTCAGTGTTTCATGATTTTCCAAGAATTGATCAATTGTTAGGATAGAATTAAGTTCACCATGCATAAATTTAACAAATGATAAAAACGCTAACTAAATACTCCCAACAATAACGTTTGATAACTACGCTACGTCATCGTCTGTAATGACTGAATATAAGCGTTATTTAAAAGAAAAGATATATGAAAACGCATAACGAAATGGGTGTGACTTATAATTTGATGGTAGTAGTAGACTGTGAGTGTGATACAAATCTATAACAGCACTAACGAAAACTACTCTTAAACGCCAATCGCAACGTCAACCACAACCACAACAACTACTAGCACAACCACTAGCACACAAAAACAAGAGCAGATAGACACTGTGGACAAAAAGTCTTAACAACCCCCTCCCAAAAATAACACTGATGACAGTTGAATAGGGATGATTTTTTTGCATTAGTTTTAAATCACCTTGACAACACCAAATTCACTGATAAGCTTAAACACATGGCAACTGGTGATAGTCCAGTTTTTACAAAGGGTGGGGCAAATACAACAAGCGCTACAAATGCGCGACAATCTCAAAATTATAGTTAGTTTAAGGTTATGGGTTATTCAACAACAAAAAAGCTGAGGTATACCCTTCAGAAAAGTTTAACATGTGACTACATGCTAAGCAAATTATGTTTATACAGTATGGAGACACAACTTACCCGAACGTTTACGTTTATCCTCTTTCATTAGGACTTCAACTTTCTTAAATCCAAAAGGAAACTCACTAGAAGAAAAAGTGGGGAGACAAAGAGAAGCAGTAATGAGAAAATTTTTAGGGGGGGGGAATCAGAAGAGTAGAAGCTTTATACTCTTCAACAGTTTACATCATAGAAAAATTGTCATTACGTGAAAAGGATAGATTAAGTGAGAACAAAAGAAAAACTGATCCATATGAGTAGGAATCGAATTCCGAAGAAACTTCGGATAAGTCGACCTAAGTGATATATATTGTAGATGAGTAGGCATTTTCTTCCAATGGATAGAATGAGTCTACACCCATTAGCTTAGAAAACAGATCGAATATTAACATAAGCCAACGGATTGGATTCATTTGAGTGGATACTACTAACCTACAGTGACTAAACAAAAGATAATGAGTTCAGACCGCTCACTCAAACATTGTGAATAACAATGTGAAATTTAGCACTAAACATGATAAACTAAACCCATTCACAATGAAATACCAAAGTTAGTAGAATACAGAGAGAGAGAACAACTTTACCCCTTAACACTGAGGTATGAATTATTCTCACTCATCAACTCAAAGTTCTTTTGATGAATGGGATACAATTGTAAAGACTTTGTTAGCATTGATAGTTTCCACTCCAGGACAATTTTTTTATTTCTGAGTGGAACATTTATGATAGAATAGTCTATTCAAAGGATGAAACTTGATTATGGAACGTGTAGGATTATGTATGCATGGAAACTGTGCAAACACTGAAATACTTACATTCCCAAACTAGATTACGAAATCTTTACTACTAAGACAAAGCATTACAAACATGAGAACAGAAAAACTGTAACTAAATAAGCATATGGTACGGGCTATTGATGAGCATTTGTAAGTAATATATTGTCGCATCAACAAGAATGGTGGTGAACAGTAGAGCGTAGGATTAATTTAAGAAGACAAGATCCTTGTGAAACGATAAATAGAAAGTATAAAATGAAGACAAAAAATGTAGAATACGAATCACTTTCGCAGAATGAAATATCAGAGAAAGATTTTTTGCATTTTGTCAGATAGACAATTTTCTGTTATCAAATACCACTGTGTTCTAACCGTTAAAATTCACCGATGGAGCTGGTGCTTGTTAGACATTTGAAAGAAACTGGAATGAAGCTCCAGACCTATACTTTGAGTTTATATTGTCACTTGTCAGCAAGATATATTTGCAACTTCCTCAAGTGAATCGAACCAGCGCCATCCAGAACAATAGTCCGAGACATTGCCACTGAACTCTACTCAGATCTGCATCACAACAAGACGGCATTAGTTCCTTCGACATTGTAAATAAGCTTTGTTGACAACTGACATTAACCACAAAGCATCGGCGAATTTCTCCCTATCAACAGCCAGCAACAATTCGGCATCTGTTTAAGGCATACCACAATGATTAGTCGCTTAGCTTAGTAATCAATGAAGTAAGTGTTGCATTTTCACATTCATTTTCATGCAGCATTCTACACTTACGACCTGGATAGACAATAAACACTAAAGTGAAACGGCACCACAGAGAGCAGGTGATATAAGTGATCAATAGACTACGGGTGATCAGGTGGGAAGATTACGAACTCCAAATAATCTCTGGTGATAGATTTCAAACGCTACAGTCTACTGCCATTTGCATTTTGTCGACTTTTTTAATACCAACAGTCTGCAGTTTCTATGTGACTCAAACAAATAGTCAACATGCATTTGCATCGGTTCCCAGTTTTTTTTTCCTGACCATACTTATATTGATAATAAAAGCAAAAGAATAATAAAATCCAATAATCAACTTACTCCAAGAAGACAGAAACAACTGATGAACCAGAATAAGCACGTGCAATTTCTAAACCGTCTAAATTAACAGAATAAACTGATTCATCTCGACGTGATTTAGACGATGAGGATGACGAAGATGAAGTTAATCTGGCATTATTGAACTAACGGAATGAAAAGAAAAGAAAATGAAAAACAAAAATTGTTAAAATAGTTAAATGATTCCAAAGCAGTCAGTCTGTAAGATAAGCCGAAATAAATCCGCTTTTTTTTAGTAAACAAAATAATATTGCTGACTGACTATGGCAGTACTTTCTTTATTGAACACAAGATTACAGGTCGCAGTCTCAGTAGAAAGACCAATCGCTCACAGTGGATACAAATACTTCAGTTGATGAGTCCAAAATAGGAAGACATGTGTATTCTAGATTCCATCACAAGCCCCACCAACACTAATTTTGATGAATAAATGGTACTTTAAGTCGTATAATGAATATGTTCAACATTCCCAAAGAGTATCCTTATTTTTTCGACCTCACTACATAAAATCAAGTATAAGCATTCTTAATCATATCATAAATAAGGCTTTGTTGAAAAACCAATTGAATTATGCTTCAACTTGAACATTCAGTAAGACGCAACCATATAATAAGTGTGGCATTTTATCATCTTCACCTGTCTTATTATCACTAAACAGTCAAATGTAGAAATAGTTTTAAAGATAGCTAAAGAATAGTAATGATGAACTTGCGATGCACAGGACACAATCATCGAAACTTTTGACAGTGTAGACGAAAACAGTGGAGACACAAACAATTAAGTATGTAATATCACTGCTTGCCATTTAAATATTACTTTATGATAAAAGCGGAATAGTAGTATTTAACTAAACATTTACTTCCCACTTCTTTAAATAATAATACCTTAATGAGCCGAACGAAGGAGGTGAAGTGATTGAAGACACGGCTGATTGGCTAAAGGCATTAAGCAAGCAGCAGTGAGTCAATGGGCTCAAGGTACAAATTTCTCTCCATCTACGTCAACCAAGCCAACTGGGTAGTATCGCCAGCTCTTAAACAGAATAATTGTGGCTCATGATCTAAAACATGAAAAATCTATTCTGATCAAATAAAATACTGGTTGTTGTCTAATGAAACTGACTGAAAGATGCGGATTCAGAAAATAACCTTTACTTTGGATCTTCTTCGGTAGTGTATCCCTGATGAATGATACTACTGACTCGATGATATTAGATGGTTGAAGGCAATCAGCAGGAAGCCTTCGACCTAGGTTTCGTGCTAGTTGGCACTCGTCAGCAAGGCGTATCTGCAACCTTGAAGGAACTCATGTCCCTTCTGAGATTCAAACCCGCGTCCCCCAGTGCTGCAGTCAGAGACGTTACCACTGAGCTATTCGGGCTCGCGATTGACCTCCTGTAGGACTGTAGTGAATATTTTGACTGGACACTAGTAATTAGTGTGATGTCTCCAGTCCTTTCTTTGGTGTGGACTGAATTCTATCAGTCAGGTTTGTAATGTGGCCACCATTCTAGGTACTACTGATTGACTGAATAACGTTTCTTCTTTGAAAAGTCTTTAACCACCTTACACACTGAGTTGTATATTAATTTATATCTTTATATATGCATCCTTTACTAGCATTCTGAAAACCTTCCGTATAAAACGTCTCAAGTAGAGTGAAAGGCTAAAGTGATATACCTTTGTCAATACACTAATAAACAGACAAGAAAAAAATAGAAGAATTTTTTATCTTTTATCAATTTCTCCATTAATTAGATACTGCTGAGTATCTTTGTGATATACATCCAAAAGTTTTGTATAGTACTGTCTGTCTTATACTATACGAAAAACCCACTAACACAGCCGGCAGTAAGTATTCAAAGCTGAATAATCACTTGAAATTATTTTACAAGACTGGAAAATATCAATAGCCACACTAATATAATAGTATTATCATTCCCTTGGGTTACTGGAGGAACAAAAGACTTCGGCGGTACGTCATCATTTCATTTTTATTCACTACAATTCTTTTTAGCTGGCTGTTCTTTTCATTCTACTTTATTTTTCTTTCCTTTTCATAAGCCTCCCCCTATGACACTTTCAGAAGCCCGACTCATTGTTGCCCATTCGGGTTCCATTCAAGAGCATCCTTTTAGTCTTTGCAGAATGATTCACTTGACACCTCACTTACTTCTTTAAATTCCCAGTGGAATGTAGGGCTTCAAGCTAGAGGGTTGAAGTTTCGGCAGCAGTAGAGTTTATTTTTACAGGACGGGGTAGTTAGCCTCATGCCCAACCTTCCCTCTTTACCAGTTTTATTACTGGTTTAGCGAGGTAAAGGAGAACATCGACCGACGACCGAACCCCGGACCACGTGAGGCGCGGTCGGTGAGCATTCTACCGCTGTACCAGCAACGCACTTTCCAGGATGATGCGGCTTATTATCTTGCCTGGAGATGAGAAGAGTATGATTCCGCGCCTACGCTTAAGTCACCGGTCTTTGGGAGTTTGACAAAAGGTAACCCTTCTTTGCAATAAGCAGGTTTCCTTCCTTCCTCCCAAACCTTCTGTAACAGTGGCGCGACGACATAGTGAATGAATAAAAGTGACAGTGTTCAATATATGTAAGACTCTCTTTACATGCATACATTCGTGACAGTGTATAGAACATCAATGAAGACATCTTTTTGATTATAACCTTTGAGTAGTGATACACCTGTGTATACCTGGCAGCAATAAATAACCAGAATATGACATCTCGAATCCAACAGCTAGATTAGCAATCCGTTTCGCCTCTACGCAGTAGTGGTTTGTTTCAATTGGTTTAATCATCTGACCTGAAAACCATTAGGCCCAAAAAATTAAACTTCGCCAAACATACTTCTCTCTTGCCAACTGAGTAGTATCATACACTGTCACAGAAGAATATGTTCCGAAGTATAGCACACATTATCTTGCATCAGATGAATAAACTGCCTTACTTAATTATAGAATACCCAAATAAAATAATGAATAAATAGATTCCAACCGAATGCCTGATTGATTTTCAGCGCAGAGAACTTGGCGCAAAAGTAAAACAGTTCAAGTTGTCACATACAATGTAGCACACGAAGATAAAGAAAAAAGGGAAATCCAATAGAACTACATAGAAAACCTGTGCACATTTCTTTTGTGAGTGTATATGCATATACAAGAATTGTAAGACAATAAAGCAACAGAAACCTACCTTAATTTCCAAACTTCGATAACACCTTAAGTGTGTTTGTCTTAATGAGACATTGTCTTCTGTGGCTGAATCAGCCTTTGTATTACGACAGTGACGTTTTAAACTGGTAATCCAACGTTGATAAACTGTCTCTAAATTCGCTGGTGGTAGATTACAGGTTGCATGACAGCTGGTGTCGTGTGAAATCGTAGCAGAAGTTGTCGGGATTGATGTTGACGACGATGGCGATCTACTGCTACTAGGATTATTATTATTATTGTTGTTATTATTATTATTACTATTTACAGAAATCAAGTTTGAGCGAGCAGCCCAGTCACATGAATGCCGACAACAACCTTAGGATAAGAAATAAATAAAAAATTTAAGGGTTTTATAGAAATAAATTAATATGACATGACAACTTTTCAGCTCAGCTTCTTGGAAAACTGCTGACAATAGATGGACCAAATATTTTTTTTGGTTATAGCTTAAAACCACACAGTATTTCTGGTACAAGTATGGAATTTTCAGCATGTGATATCGGTAGCCCAAATTTTGCAGGCCAACCATAGATATCGGGTGTGCGTCGGCAGGGGATCGAACCTCGGACCATGTGCATGGTCGGCGAGCATCCTAACCACTCTGCCACCGGCGCACATCTAAACAAAACACACATTTGTGGTGGATACATCGATCACGAGTCTAATTTAACTCACCCAAAAAACATAAAAGATGAAAGTAAACAAAGTGGGAAAGTTACAAATATTGATTACCAGTTATGTCATGTCACATTTAAAACAATAATAATAAGCCTCATTTTAACCAAACCATAAGGAGTTCAGTTAGCTCAGTTCAGTTTTGTCCTTCAGTATGGCAGCGGATGTTCATAAATAGTGAAATAAAAAGATCTGAAGACCATCATCAGGCTTCTGTACACAAGGGTTTCATCTAGAGCAGTTTCAAAACTCTGATTCAACATCAATTGTGTACATGGACTCAAAGATTCGGAATTTCTATACGGAAAACGGCTGAACAACAGTATGGGACGCTTATTCAACGAATAGCTGACGACTATTCAAATGTTAGGCGAGCTTTATGGATCAGTAATAATATTAATTTCACAACTAGTTCATCAGCAATGGTAGTTCATTCCAAATAAATAAAGTAAACGCCAAAATGGATAGCTTTAATTCCTACTTTACAATAGGATTCGCTAGAGTGGGACAGCTGTGTACTGCACTAACCGGAAATGGTAGGTGGGCAAATCTAGTGCACCTTTTGAACAGTTAAACCAATTGTACAGTCTTTCATAAGCATAAACTGTTGACAACAGTTATTTCATAGAGAAGTCCTTTGAAAGATAGTTATAAGGACGTTCAATTAGCCTATGTTTACGTAGCTCCCACTTTTTGGAATCAGTCTTTTTGTAGCAATAGAGTACGAAAAACCAAATGGTTACCAGTATCCATGGTTGCTTTATAAAAGTTGATGAAATTGCCTGATCGCTGAAATTCATGCTAGGTAGAGTGGATTTCATGCCGTAAGTGAAACTGTAAAGTCGACGCTCCACTATTATTTTTGATCAGATATTTTATTCTAATTATACATAAATAATGTGCACAAATATGTTTGATCAATTATTTAAAACAAATCCTAACAAATGTATCAACACTTAGATAGCTTAACTGACCTTATTTCAACCACTAAAGAGTACTATTCAAGTATTGGTGTGTAGGGATTTGGTTGATTCGTTACAGGATTTCATTATGAGCTGACATTGGTTAGAGAACCATTGGAAAACCTGGGAGTACTGGACAGCTGTTTCATCCTAGCTTGGGACTCTTCATCAGTAAGCACCCACCGCCATAGTTCGAACCCAGGACCTTCTGGTTACAAGGCGAGCTCGCATACCATTACGTCACTAGGACACGAACCAATGTCAGCTCATAATGAAATCCTGTAACCAATCAACCAAATCCCTACAAACCAATACTTGAATATCAATGAGATGCTCACTGGCGACTGGCCCTATTCAGGTAGGTAGTTACCTGGAGTTCCAGTGGGAAGTCGTGACCAGTAGGGTGCAGCAGGTCAAGTGTGAGGACATAGCCGAAGACATTGGCTAGAGGTTGCGCTATATCGTGAATTGGCAGAAGTTAGGATTCATGGGCCATTGGATCGGGTCACAGTAGCTTAATGGTATGCGAGCTCGCCTTGTAACCAGAAGGTCCTGGGTTCGAACTATGGCGGTGGGTGCGTACTGATGAAGAGTCCCAAACTAGGACGAAACAGCTGTCCAGTACTCCCAGGTTTTCCAGTGGTTCTCTAACCAATGTCAGCTCATGATGAAATCCTGTAACCAAATGAGTACCACTCAACAAGAACGAATACGACTGCCTAGTGCTTTTAAAATACAGAAAAGAACTATTACTATTACCATTATTATTACAAGAGATCAGTTCCACGCGTCATGGATAGTTATCAAAATCACCAACTTTGGAAAAAATTTATATCAATTAATATATTCACGCCAAAAGATTTAAAACTTGATAAGAGGTGATTTGTAGGCATATACGTATCAATGAGTATGGTTAAATAAGTTACGTTGCCAAAATCTTGTCCAGAAAGGTAGATAACAACATTAGAAATAACAGGGACAACACAAAGTAGTATATTGTTATAATATAAGCAGAATAAACAATGTAAAAGTCGAGAAACATGCGGTAATAACAGTATCAAAACAAGTGGAATATTATTTGAAAATAACAAAGAAAAGGTAGGATAAATTAGTCAAGATCATAAACTGAACTTTCAATGTACACCTTGGCATAAAAATGCAACAGTTCAAGTTATCAGACTTCACAAAACCAAACATAACGGCGGAAAAAAAAGGCAAAGAAACTATAGAAACGGAAAATGTAACAGAGAACAATGAGGATTCCGTAGGCCTGATAGATCACACAGCGTGAATGCGTCTGTGTATTTGAGCCACATCATCTACACAGTCTCCAACGATTGCTTTTTACGTGTCTCGAGGCTGTCTACACCACCTTATATGGTTGGCTCAAACCAACAGTTCAAGACATGATTGTACGGTGTGATATCAAGTTTTGGTCCAACCTAATCCTATATCAGACAACATCGCTTGTCAAGAAAGATGATGGCTTGACATGAGCAACACATGTTCTAGCCATCTCGATCGATAGAACTTCATAACTTCATTGATTGATTTTCACTCCTCACCTAACCTGAACATTACTCACTACGATAAGGAATTGTGAAGGTAACTGTGCTAATGAAATCGATTACAAACCGTATCATCGCCCGCATTCCTTAACTATCACTTTTAATTATTTCGTAGACCCTCATCCATGTAATTTATACTACTCTATAAGGTTCACAACAACACCGCACATTTTAGAGTAGATAATATTTTAATATGTATCACACATATCATAGCCAATTGACTGACTGACTTAGTTTCGACATAAAGCTTTGCATAGAGATGAAGCACTTCAAGTCGCTATATTCCATGTAAAACACAAAGGTAAGGAAGAGGAAAAGATTCAAAGAATTATAATGCGTAGAAAATATGCATAGAGAAAGAAATCTAACATCGAGAAATATAAGGGGTCTAAGCGGATTTAGGAGATTACAATGACTTAATGCATCTACACACCACTGAGAACGATTTTGAGGCCACATCATCAACAGTTTCCAGCCATCGTTCCCTAGCATCCCCGGGACCCCAAACAGATAGTCTACGTAACCCTAACCAGAAATCAAAAACTTCATGGACTAATGCCAAGTTTTCATTTGACCAGTTCTAATTCTTTTCCAACCTACCTCCTAACCAACTGAATGAATGGAAGTTTTAAAACTTGTCAACTGGAGTGTGATGCATTTACCGAAAACCTAAAATAAAACCGGCATATATTTTATATAGTGATTACAACATGTAGAAGATAATACAGAGAGTATGGTGAGTATTGATAAAAGGATAATTAGAGGGTCATACTAAACCGCGAAACAAATCTACAAAGTATACGCCTATCTGTAAGGAAGTATAGGAGGTTACTGGTTTCGGCTTCACAAAAGCTAAGAATCAGTGATTTGGTAACTCATGATGCCATCGAGTACGCATATTTCCATTCACACTTAGTTATCTTCAAAACCCATGTAATCTTCAGCAAAGTCTAACAAACATATTTGTTCATTGTACTTTTCCAATTGTGTACTGCCTTGACAAGTGCGACAACATTGTGTCATTCGCTGTCGCCACATATCCAATCTTATGCAACTCATGAATGTACACTAAAATTACATTATTTAAACCTTGAATTTTCCTGGCAACAATCGATCGTGTCTCAACATCAAGTAGAATTGCGAACGAACTTCAGAGTCATTTATAGAGAGTACGCAAGAATCTTGCCGAAGGTTTATGAATCAAACTTTCGTAAACCGCAGAAGCTGTGGAAATCCTTAACTCTACATGCACTTCGTTCACTCACTGAACTTAAAATAGACCTAATTTGTCTACACATTTGACCCTTAACATTTTCTCTTTCCTAACAATAAATTAAATTAAGTGTAACTCAACAATTATTTGTATATCCATGAACTTGGAAATCAGCCACACCTAATGTGTGAGGGTTGATGATACTGGTAGCAACACCAAATGTAACGGTAGAATAAAAGAGTATTTGGCAAGGCAATTACACATTGGCAACTCAATGTAAAGATATGAGCAAAATACGTCTAATACATATTTGAGGCACAATTTGCACATGTCTTCTTCGGTATGGCGCTACTTTATCCTTCTTTCGTGTTTTCCATGTTGTTTCCCCATGCATAGTTTATTGAATGGATCTCTCCTTTATTCGATATTCTTTCAGATGTTTATATATATATATATGTTTATATCTGTACGTATACACTACTTGTAAATCTTGTCGGCAGAACAGGCCACAATACCATATGGCTGCCCAACCTTGGTAGATGAAGCGGTTTTCAACCAGTGATCCACGGGGTGACAATGGGCCACAGCTCCTTAAGACGCTGACCTTGGCTTGACTTTACCTCAGATTTAGTTTGATTTCAATTAATCCTGTCAGTTAGGTCGCATCACTCAATTTACTTACTTAATTTTCCCTTAATCTCAACTTGATTAATGATTTTTTGTAATACATAACTTCCCATAAAATCTATTGACAATTATCTAAAACTACAAAGTGTTGTTTGCCAGGGATTTGATCACGGAGTAATATCACTTAGAGAACCAATGGAAATTAGATAGTACTGGACAGCACCTCCGTCCTAGTTTGGGACTCTTCTGCAGTAAGCACACTTGAGCTCACTAGAGATCGAACCAAGGATCTACATAGGTTACGAGGAATTCGGTTGACCATTCAATTACTGGAACAGAATCCAATGGCCCATGAATTCTAACTCAGGCATTAAGCTACATATAGCTCAAATGCCACCCAATGCCATCGTCGTGGACTCCAATGTTCACAGGTTCAAATTAGAACTTCAGGCAACTGCATCCTGTAGTCGGCCACTAAGACTCGAGAATTTTAATCAAAACGTCTTTGGAAACTTTTCTTTTGTTTCTATGGCAATGTATATACATATATGCGATGGTGCGGCTTGACAGTATCGCTGAACACCTTCTGTTCTTCCTTTACAATTGTCTATCTGACAATAGAAAACAATTATGGTTACATTTTCACACGGCCAAATACCAAAATCCATCCGTACTTAAGACGAAACACACAAAAAAATATACACATAAAATATGTTATAAGCTTGACATTTACCTGAACGTAATAGAAATGGATGAATATGTGGTGGTTCTTCAGGTCGACCAGCATATGATGTTGCATCTAGATCATATCCACTGAAGAAATTCAATCGACTAGATACTGTTGTTGACGAATTCATATAATTTGAGTTGAAATTATTACTAGTATTATTATTTCCAGAACATGGCGCTTCAACGCAAAGAACAAAGTCTTCACGATCACCTGCTGATGCTCCATACAAAATTAAACCGAAACAAAAATCTTTCCTAAATAAAATAAAATTAAAGCGAAGGAAAATAAATGATGAGAAAGAAAGAAATAAGTAGTTTTCAAAAGGAAAAGTATTAATATGCACTTTTCTTTGCAAAGAATCGAAGCCAATGGATAATACTTCCTTCAAAGCATTATTGAAGTATAGGTGAGTAAGACAATGAAATTCTGAACATAGGAGTAGGGCAAGACTGCCTACTATCACTGATGTTATTCCTAATTGTGGTGGACTGGATTATGCGGAAGCATATGAGCAGAGAACAAGAAGACAAGAATGCATTGAACGGATAAGCATACTCTAGTATATCTGGGTTTCGTGGACGATTTATGTATAATGTCAGATAAATCTGAAGACTTACAGGCGAAAACCAACAAGTTGTAACAAGAAGCAAGACTTCAAGTAAACCTAGAGAACACAAAGGTGACGACAATAACTAACAAACACCAATTACTATCAACAGAATAAATTTCAAAGAGGTCGCTTCCTTCACTCACATATTGGCAGCATCGTTTCAACTACAGGCAACAGCACGGATGAGGATGTAAAAATCAAAATCGAAAAGACAAGGTACACCGTAATCAACCAGAAATTAGTTAGGAAATTTTCTGAACTCAGCATGAAGAATGTGGTTCAAATTTTCAGCACAAACGTTAAGCCAGTCAGTTCTTCTAATATGGGTCAGAAGCTCGATGCGTTACGAAAAGCGTGTTTAACAAGTTGCAGACTTTTATCAACAGATGCCTTCACTGGCTGCATATTGAAGATCAAATGGCCAGACGGAGAGGATTAGAACACCAGTAACGAACCAATCAACAACCGATTGCTCAACAAATATGCAGGAAGAAATGAGGATGGACTAGACATTATACTGGGAAGGGGGAAACATCGCGTACCAGGCTCCTGAGTGGAAAAACGACTCAGGAGTCCGTGGTGACATGGAGATCGTGTGAATTGGAGATGAGGACTTATGAGTAACCGTGGGAACAGATGAAGAGGACTGAAGAAAACAGGGAAAATAGCGATGTGCCGTTGGAGCTTTATGTTTCACTCAGGACCCGAAGGAACAATAATAATACACATTACCTACTTTTCATTAAATTATTCATTTCCTACACAAAATCTTTTTTTTACTGAACTGTCATTACGTTTCTATGCCCTTTGCTAGTGTAACAACTTGAATTAGTGCATGTCTGCGAATAGTCCAACAATGATTTATCAGTTATTCACTCGTATTAACCTAAAAAGCACAGTAATCACTGATGTCATGCTTCAAGAGCTTTCAGGACGTTTGAATTGGCATCAAGAACTCTCTAATTGGAGTTCAGTGTAGATTTCATCACAGGTCAACAACAGTTTGAGAACCATTGAAAACCAGGGAGTACTGCAGAGCTGTTTCGTCTTAGTTCGAAACTCTTTATCAGTACAGACCCACAATTCCACTCGGGGTCGAACCCAGGACCTCCAGGGTAGAAGACCAGGCTTGTTCACCGTTCAGCCGATTCGACTGACATGCGCGCCTCGAAGATAAAATACGTAAAAAAGTATCCATGCTATTCATCAATAACAAGGCACGTACAATTCTCCAAGGGTAACAAAAATATGCTACACGCATAAAAGTATTTTTTTCTATTCATGAATAGCTAATTCAACAATGAATTAGTTCTATTACCTAGCGACAAACCATAACACACAATAGTAATGATCCGCGTATTATATAATAAAGATTATGAGTAAATGTGTATGAGGAGTGATTAACAGTTGACCTCATTAAAAAATAAACAACTCTTTCTACAAAATATGCAAATTTTAGCATTAACAAAAAAAAATAGTAATGTTTACACACCAGCTTTAATCCAGTCAAGTTGGTCTGAACCACCTGAAAGCATAAACTAAGATCGTGTACAACTAAATAATACTTTAACAGATTTAATTTCATATTAGAATAAACCCGCCATACACTCAGAAGAAGAAATATGGCTCTTCAGCCTAACTTCTCCACGTTTACCTAGTGAGTCCAGAATTTCAATCTCGCTAAGCTTACTTCATCGTGTGCGACCGGGTAATGTCATCAGTCCCCAAACAATGAGTGTAGCCTATATCCTGGGATATGGAAAGTCTGTATCAGGTGAGTCCATTCAAAAAAAGTTAAAAACAATACACTCAGAACAGACTGGAGTAATAAATTTGAATGAACAGGTATGTGATACATTCACTTTTTGAACACACTAACTGACAAGAGGATCTTAGCATTCCCAGTACCGCATCCATACAGTCTACAGCTCCCTATGTGCGTGTCTCAAACGAACAGTCAAAGACTTCATGGATTGACTTCAAATTATGATATGACCGCCTCCAACTCTTTTACAACACAAACTTATGTCAACTAACATCACTCATTGTGGAAGGTGATGGCTCAGCATACACCACGCGTTCTGGCCACCTAAATCTATGTGGCTACACAACCTAACCGACTAATTTATCTACTTTGTCTAACACTCTACGACTATCCTCAATATTACTCCGCATAGCATATCACTTAGAATGGGAGATAGAACGCAACCGTCTGTGGCTTTAGACCGCAGACGGCCCGTTAATTTTGAGACAACTTAAATAAGTGGAGGAGTCAATGTATTACACCATTCGCTGCACTCCCCTGTCCTTAAAAACAAATAAGAGTTAATGCAGACCAGTCAGTCTTGTAGTGTTATCATCTTACATTTAACAGGAAAAGAGTGAACGCCAAACATACAGTTGCCTGCTTTATCTATTTTAGCCTAGACAACTGGGTAGAATTATCAGCCCTCACATAACAAGTATGGCCCATAGCCCAACCACTGGGTAATTAATCGAGTTCTAACTAACCAATTTATATCTAAATCAGAATAAAACTTCGTCATCAAAGATAAACCTGTTGCACAAAATAAAGCATTATTGGTCCAAAGTGTGTGTGTGTATGTGTGGTGACTCAGATTTCCATTTCACAATTACATTAACTAATTTAAATCACTTACTCATACGCAGTATAGTGAATTGGAAAGAAATCACACTTGGAGAGATCAAATCTTTCAGGTTTGCGTTTTTCACCATCAACCAGCGTTAAGATACTTTGCTTTCTATCCAACTGGGCATAATATGATTTCCATTTTTTTCTTTGTTGTGACCCTTAGGGAAGAGAAAATAATAAAATTGTTAACCACATATAAGTGAAAGGATATGTAATACATATAACATCTACCCATGTGTTCATTTTTATCTGCGTTACTCAGTAGCTATACGCATTTCCATGTATTTTGCAATAAGTTACACCTGTTGTGTGAGGATTAGTGATATTACCTGGCTGCCTATACCTTGGTACGTAGCAGGACAGAGTTGGAATCCATGATTCAGTTGTAGTCTAGTAAGCCACACAGTTTCAATGCATTCATTTTGCTGTACACCTTTAACTGAGGAGGGGCATTGTTCCGCTCCGTCCTCCTTTATGGCTGTCAGACCTGGCCATTGAGAGCAGAAGACATGAAAAGATTAGCTGTCTTCGATCATAGGTGTCTGCGTTCTATCTCCCGCGTGAAGTGGTATAATAAGGTGAGCAATATTGAGGTTAGGCGTCGAGCGCTAGGTAAGGAGGAGAAATCAGTCGACGAGACTGTGAAATTACATCGACTGAGATGGTTAGGACATGTGTTACGTATGCCTAGTCATCGCCTTCCTCGATGGGCAATGTTAGCTGATATAGGGTCAGGCTGGAAAAGAGCTAGCCGCAGTCAAACGAAAACATGGCTTCATCAGTCAATGAAATCTACAACAGTTAGTCTAAACCACGTAGGAAGGTGTAGACTTCCTGGTTGGGGTCCTCGGGACGGTAAAAAACCAATGGTTGGAAACAATTGGTGACATGACTCAAAATCGTTCTCAATGGCGCAGATGCATCCACTCCTCGTGACTTATGATTTCCAATTAAACTGTTTTGTTCTCCGTTATTACTATTCCTTTGTCTCACACCTCTGTTTACTGTCTATATTATGCATTTCTCCTACTTATTTCTCTTGCTTTGTGTGCTACAAGGAGGGAGTGTGGCGACTTGAACTGCCACACATATGTGCAAAGTTCTGTGTCGAAAACTAACTGACTGACTGGGGCATTGTGCAGCAGTGATTCAGTAGTAGAACACTGGTCAACCATGCGAATGGTCTGAGGTTCAATCCCCAGTTGATGCACTCCCGAAACATCGCTTAGTCGGTAGTAAGCCAGGTAAAGAGAGAAGGTTGGGTGTGAGGACTAGCAACCCTACCTCGTATAAACAACAGTGAGTTCAGAGATCTAACTTGAAGCCCTATGTTCCATTGAGAATGCAGAGGAATAGAAAAGGATGCCTACCAGTTCTGTGTTTTTAACGATTATTTAGCTGGTGACAGTTAGTGGTGAAGAAAACAACAACACTGATGGATTATACTTGACAGTAACTTATGTCATGTGTCTTGTCCTGAATGGTGACTAGGTTCTGTGGCTAACCAGATAGAAAACCCATGATCGAGGTGTACTTTAATAAAATTATGTTAAGCAGTAAACAATCCTGTCCTGAAACCAACTGACTAGCTGGCTGATTTCAACATAGAACTTTGCACAGATGTGCACTAGTTCGAGTTGCCACACTCCCTCCATGTAGCACACAGAGCAAGAAAAGAGAGTGAAGAGAGATTCAAAACAAAAATATGAAGGAAAAAGAATAGTAGTATGGCAGAATAATAGAATTTTATTGGATATTATAAATCACAAAGAGTGAATGTACTTGCACCAGCCATCGACAGTGACTTTGAGCCATATCGCCGATTGTCTTCAGCCGGTGGCTTTTAACATCCGAGAACCCCAACCAGAAAGCCTACACCTCCCTACATAGCTTACGCTAACTGTTATGGCTTTCATTGAATGATGCCATGTTTCAATTTGACCATCACTAGCTGTTTTCCAACCTGCTCTTATGTCCGCTAACATCGCCCGTTAAGGAAGACGATGCCTAGGCATGCGTAGCCAACTGCTTCTGTGCCCTCATCAACAAGGTGTTACTGTAGCACAGAGTTGATGAGACTGAAGTGTAACCAGGGATTCAAACTTACAAGTAGATAGAGATAAAGAAATTATACACTTTTCCAAGGGCATTATCTTTTTCCTCCATCAAAAGAAAACCCTAACAGTTTAAACTGTAATTAATTCACTTCATAAATGAGTTAGTTACAAAATTACCAATAGATATCAGTAACTTACATGCATACCTATTTTTCCATACTTTAAAGGCGCTTAACAGAAATGAAGACTTCACTGGGCTTTCATGCTCCGAAATTTTAATTCACATAAGAAATGTAGAAAACAGAGGGAAGTTAAACTATAACACACAGCGACCTACAAGAATGACTTTGAACAACCAATCAGAATAAATGAATGCTAAATCTCATTAATCCGCTAAGATTAGAAGATAAAGTGAGATTAGTGTTAGAGTAGTTAGGTCATATTTAGGTTCCAATGATCTATACAAATTCAAAACAGATCTATGTATTTTATTATTCATTTATATTCTAATTGGTTGTTTTTCAAAGTCATTTTACATTGGTGACCGCTACAGTTTAAATCCATCCTTTAATGTAGCAGGACGCAGACAGAGACTGTTTATAACAGAAGAGCTTTGTTTATCTAATTGAGCGAAAACATGTCAAAGAGGAATTATCGAATATCAGTCCAAGGTAGGTGTCCGATAAATCCCACTATTGAAACTTTGAAGAAGGGATTAGAAGCATACAAAGCTGTGAAGTTACATGAGATATGAGTATGAACAAGAAATTGTATTTCACTGTATCACATATCCAATAAATAAACGAATATGGAATACTTGGATGTCCAGATCTCGGTAGGTGGGGCAGAGTTTGAACCCGTGACCCACAGGTCGGGGTGGGAAGTCGAGCGCCTAGAAACTACAGTTTTACAACTCAACAATCATAAAATGAGGAAGGAACTTCTAAAATTATAAATGTTTTCATAACACTTCAAAACTATTATCCCCCATCGACCCGCCCACCAACATCGTATTATCTGACAACACACTTTAATCAGAAATAATTGCACAAAAGTACCATATTAATCAATACATAAATTCAAACATTTCTCAATACAGAGTGAAAGTAAGGGACACAATACGAATACACTTTAAAGAAAAGCTTATAGAAACAGTGGTCACTTACAAACAGATAATTCCCCATGGATTTCAGTCAGTGTTTGATGAGAAGCTGGAGGTTGACGTGCATAAAACATATCCATATAGATTGTAGACGATGGAGGATGTATTTGAGGCTTGAAAATAAATTAGGAAAAAAAGAAGTCATTAAGATATGGTCATATAATTATGACAGTATGGATGACAATCGTATATCGAGCCACCTTCTTAATAAAGACAGGAGGAATAATAAGTAGGCTGAAACCTGGCGACACTAAATATAACATGCGAAGAAAAAAGAAGAATAGACGATAGTAAAACTGTTTAAATTGTGAACACGATAGAAAAAAGTGGATGATATATCTATACTAATTTCAAATGATTATCATTCCGGGTCCACCGCCATCTAATGAGTATGCTGGAGCACTTCTCAACAATGCCCAAACCAATAGTTGGCAATTAATGAATTAAAAGTGAGTCGGTAGTTCAGTGGTAGGACACTGGCTAACCAAGCAAGTGATCCGGAGTTCGACCCCCGACAGAAGGACTCCCTAACCTCGCTTCGTTTGTAGTAATCCCAGTAGAGAGGGATGGTTGAGCGTGTGGCTAGCAACCCTATCCCGCAAAAACAACAGTGATACTGAAAGTTCAAAGCTAAAAGCTTGAAGCCATGTGTTCCTCTGGGAACGTAAAGGAATTAAATTAAATTACAATAATGGATTAAACGTACGATGTGGTCCGACCAGGGGCATAGTTGTTTTAGCAAAACAACTATCGAATCAACGAAAGGGAAGTGCTATATGTACTCCATCCACCTAAATCACTGAATATTCACGATTATATCCATTAACCCAGCATCAAATGTTTAACCACAACAGTATTTGGTCTGTGGTTGAATTATTTCACGATACAACACATAGAAACATCAAATTAACTCATAGACGATACGGTGTTAGTATGATTGATCCATGTAATGGAATAGAGTAAATCCGTCAGACCGAATATTCCAATGAAATACATGACATTGTCATAATAAGGCTAAATAAACTATTGAATGATGCCAGTTAAACAGCCTGGGAAAAACAGTACGCGAAACCACAATAATTCAGCTTTAATGATCTCGTTTGCATGAATAAGTAGCCAATTTAATGCTTTGTACATATATCACAGTGTTTGTTATATCCCCAGTATCGAGGATCATCTAAGAGGTGAACCAGTTTTGAATCCTAAAGACACTAGAGATTATCGCTTTAAAAAAACTTGATATTTCCTTGCAAAAAAAATTAAAGGTGGCTTTTGTTCCATAAGAAAACACTTCGAGTTTCTCAAGTTATTCAGAAATCCCAGAAAGAGTTAACTAGAGTGAGTATCTTCTAGCTTTATAGTCACATAATCATCATAACAAGACAGATAGGTAAATTGCGGGGCTTTTACTGTCCTTCTGGACAACATTTTCAAAGCTAACTTCAATGTGAAGTCAGCCTTGGGAATGCTCCTTCATCGATGATAAATCCATACTTTATGATAACCTTTACTGAGATTTCTTTACGACTGCATTCACTTGTACTGATATTGATCCTTTGTTGACCCGATGTTTGACCTTTTCGTAGTGGTTAACAGATATGTTGACACAAACTAATCAGTAAAAAAAATCAGTCGAACAATGAAGGGATTCAAGGTTAAAAGAACGAGAGGATCAGCATCAAGTTAAAGAGGTTACAAACAAACCTTTGCTGGAGGGTGGGGCAACCAACACAGCCAAGGTCAGTGAGAGAGGCATGGAGAATTTCCAAATCTCACTTCAAATAGAAGTTTGCAATGGAGATGTCTAGAAGGACAGTGAAGCTTAATGACTAAACCACCAACCTCAGGGAACTCAACACCGAAAAACTTCGACTGAGTTAGATACTTCCTCCAACCTCACCTAGTTTATTAGGTCGCTAGTCTTCTAGACGGTCCCAAGCTCCAGAAAAGAGGGAGGGTTAGGTGTGGGGCTAGCGACCCTACCTCGGAAAATCAATCCGACCTCTACAGAAACTTCAAGGCAAAAGAAGCGGCAAGAGAAGACAGAACTACAGGTGATGATTGAGAAGACGGGGGTGATGAAGATAACCAACCAACAGCAACAGCTACAAAGAACAGCACCAATCACTATCAACAGAATAAGTTTCAAAGAGTTCACTTCCATCACTTATCTAGGCACCACCGTCTCAACCACAGGTGCCACGGATGAAGATGTCAAAGCCAGCTAGAATCGGAAAGGCAAGACAAGCCTTCATCCACCTGAAATCAGTTTGGAAATATTCTCCACTCAGCATAAACAACAAGATTCGAATTCCCAATACTAATATCAAGTCAGTCAGTTCTTCTATATGAGTCAGGAACTCGACCCGAGAGTCACGAAAACATTTCCAACAGCCTACTGCAAACTCTTATCAACAGCTGCCTCAGTTGGCTCCATATGATGAAGATCAGATGGCCGGCCACAAACAATTAGTAACAAGACACCTGGCAACGAACCAACCAACAAGCTATCAATCAACAAATATCCCAAAGAAAGTAGAGGTGGATCGGACACACTAAGGAGACCGTTGGGTGACATCGCACATTAGACCCTCGAGTGAAACCCGAATGGAAAACGAAGAGTTGGGTTTGGGTCCAAAAGTGGCATGGAGGTGATCGTGTGAGGGAGAGATGAGAGATTATGAACAGTCGTGGACCCAGGTAAAGATATTTCCTCCATTATCTCAAAAGATACAAATAAAGTTGTTGAATTAATAATAAAAAGTATGCATAAACTTGAGAATAAAAAACTAAGTTCAGCTGTTTTTTTAAGTTCTTGTTTGCAGGGATTTGACTGATTTTAACATTAATCGCCAACTGACTTCAAGAAGAGAAGCACTGTCCAGGAAGTACTGGACATCTGTTTCGTCCTTGCCTGTTACCATTCAGCAGTACTCATCCATGACTTCACCAGGGATCAAACCCAGAACCCTCAGGTTACAAGACAAGCCTCCTCCACTGGGACGTAATCCAACAGCCTATCAGTTCTTGCTGATGACATTAGCTGGCCAGCATATTTTATATCACAAACTGATGGACCAATGAATTCCGTCTCAGTAACTGAATAGTCATGGAGCTCGTCTTTCGATTCCTGGTGAGGTCGTAGTTGCGTGCAGATGAAACAGCTGTCCAGTACTCCCCGGTTTTCGTTGGTTCGGGATCAATCTGGGGAAAAAAGGTTGTTACTACGTATAAAAGCACATCATAACGCATCATTAAAAAATACGTACTTTACGCTCTCTATTGACAGGTTTAAAAACAGGCAAGTTAGTGTGTATATTTGAGCCATCCGTTGAATGGAATTCATTTGACTGTACATGATGATTTCCTGACACTGTGCCATTCGTCGAATGGTTACCAGAATCAGTATCCATTAAACAATCTCCAGTATCAGCTACATTTAGAGTACTGGATTCTTCAGTATGACAAAGTTCGGAATGATGTGATTCAATCGCTGCGACTACAGCTTCTACGCTAGGAAAAGTTGTTCCACTGTACATAATTTTAGTTGTTGTTCTATAGAGAGGAAACTGAAAATTTACACTGAGTGTTGAAGTATCATTTGTTGAAGAATCTTGATTGTCCAATCTATTACACCCTGAAAATGTTTCATCTGATCGTCTCCTCTGCACATCTGATTTATTATCTCCGCTATTATCAATTGCAGATGATTCTTCACCAGTATCTTCTATGTGTACATCTGAAGGTCCACTGTTTCTACGATCAGAATTTGTGCTTTGATTATTTTTATCTGTTGTTGGTGTTACATTGTCTCGACAGATTAATTCTGATTGAACAACCAATTCAAGTCGACATTTACGTACTCTTATACCATCGTACAATAGTAATGTATATAAGCCTGGACGTGAATCACACGGTCTTAACAAGTAACTAAATGCACCAGCTGAAAAAAATTTTTTATTTCGAAAATAAAGAAAAACAAAAAGTTAGTAAAAGAAAATCAATACAACTGCAATAAAACTAAAATTAAAGACAAATATGTATGCATGAGAAGTGAATATCAGAAATAATGGAAATACAGTCCGTTGTCAGCGGTTCAATGGTAAAATGCCCACTAGCCATGCAGGAGGTCGTAGTTCGATTTTCCAGCCGACAAGTTCCTAAACCTCTACTAGTTCACTTACCTGTAGTACGCCAGGAAAAGAGGGAGGGTTGGATGGGAATCTAGCAATTCTCTCCAATAAGAAGCAATAGAACCGCTACAGAAATTTTAAAAGTTTGAAACTCTATGTTCCAGTCAACAAGCAAAGGATGATATATACCTAAAAATACAATAAATGCTACAATCGTCAGCCTTTTAAAGTCAAATCTCAGCCTGAGACTGTTTAACTAACAAATTAAAGATTTTGACATAACATGATGCTAAATCATGTCATTGAGAACCTTCTCTTAATTACTGAGAAACCTCGTCGAGATGGCTAATATGTAATCACTAAAGTAAAGCAGTTAATATCTAATTAGACATTCTCCAATTAAAAGCCACGCTTAGCCCAACTTTCTTAAAACTTAAGTCTTTCGTAGCCAATATTATAGCCCAATATAAAAGGTGATTCATCAGGACTTGTCGTATAACCCAATGGACTGACTCAACACTGCTAAAGTCTGAAATTTGGGTCTAAACTTTATGAATAATAAATACTGTTGTTTTACGACACATTACACATATAGATACTTATATACAAAGCATATAATATGGGTTTAAGTTCAACTTTAAAATGTTATTATAATTATCAAGAAGAATTTTCGATAGAAAGAGAATAAGAAGCATATCGGACATTTTGAAACGGGATGCTCCGTGTTTAAACTAATAACAATTATATACAGCTCTGAGTACTAAACTATGGGTTATAAAGCTGTCGCAAGGATTGAGAAATTATCCAACAGAAAAACCGAAAAGGCTGAATGACAGTTCCCACATTGACGATAAATTAGCAGCCACTAGTTTGACACTTGCCAAATTAAGTCATCTCTGGCGTACACGTGTGGTATCTGGCTGCCCAATAAAGGACCTGTGCATTGAGCAGTAGTTCGCTCTGATCATCTTCATGGCTGTGAGATGTCACCATTGAAAGTGGAAGACATGAAAAGGCTAGCCTTCTTTGACCACATTAAGTGGTATAACATAGTGAGCAATATTCAGATTAGGCATACAGTATTAGATAAGCAAAGGAAATAGAGGTTGTGAAACTACACCGATTGAAATGACTGGGGAACGCGTTATACACACCGAGCCACCGCCTTCCTCGACGAACGGTGAGCTATTCGATGACATGCAATTAGGTTGGAGAATTATAAGGCGATTAAAACGAAACCCTAGATCCATTCGTGAAGTCTTTGACAGTTGGTTTGGGCTATGTAAGGAGATGCAGACTGCCTGGTTGGGGTCCTCAGGATTCTAAGAACTAACAGCTGCAGACTTTTGGTGATATGGTTCTAAATAGTTTTCGCTGCAATAGACACATTCACTCTTTGTAACCTTTAGTATCCACTAAAGTCATTTTTTTATTTCTGTGTCACTATTCTTTATCCCGTATATTTCTGTTCATCACCGTTCTTTTGAATTTTTTCTCTCTTTTTCTCTACCTTCACGGAGTGCAGCATGTTGAACTGCTACACTTCCGTGCAAAGTTCAACGTCGAAACTTAATCAGTTGTTAGCCATTCGACATCCAGTCTGATAATGTACATAGTGTATGTCGTATATGTACATATTTATTAATCTCTTTGATAAAAAAAACAATTACAACACAAGACACGCATACATGTACACTGTCATCAGTTATGTAAATACGCAGTAAAACAAAATTTACAAGAGAATAACAACAGACGGGCGGATGGCGAAAATCCCTCACTGTTGCATGTGTATGTGAATGTGCATAAGGCCCATCGACGCAACAGACACACACACACACTCGTAATCATGGTGTGTTTAATTCCTAGAGGCACAAATTTTCATATGCTTAGTTATCTAAGGATAAGAGACAGTGTCTATCATGTGTATAGTTGCCTATGTGTGAGTGTGTGTGTTTGATTTTATTGAATTTAAAAGCAGTATCATTGAAAAGGGACAATTAGCATTACTATTGTCCAAAATTATTTATTTTTTTTCATAGTTGCTGTAATTGCTTCTTCTTTGTCCTACCATGATTATTTTTCTTACTTTATACATAAATAAACATACAAAAACAAATTATTAAACGCCATTCATATGTTGTGTACATCATTCTTATCTTCCGTATGTGATAGTCAATTTTCATTGTGCCTTTATCCTACAGAAATATCTATTTCGTATATACATATATGTACAGTAGAAACATGAAAATGAAAATTTCAATATGAGTGGAATAAAAGTGACTTCTGTTATTAATACTACTACTGCTATTCGTCCCTTGGGTCCCGATTGGAACATCTCCATTTTACTCAGTTATCTACGCTCACTGTTAGCTGGCTAAACGACTGCTCCTCATATGATCTCCTCCACGTCATCTTCGAATGTACGCCCAATTCGTCGCTTCCTATTCGGGTTCCACTCAAGAGCATGGTGAGTGATGTCAATCAACAGTCTCCTCAATGTATATGTCCTATCCATCCTCATTTTTGTCTGCATATTTGATGAGCAATGGTTGTTGGCTGGTTTGCTCCCTGCCAAAGTCTCTTTTTCCTAATGGTTCCCTGACGTCCATCTGATCTTCAGTGTCGAGCGAAGGCAGGTATTAGTAAAAATCTGCGATCTGTTAAAAGTGCTTTCGGCGACGCGCGCTCCAAGTCTCTGAGCCATGTAGAAGCACTGAATCGACATCAATATTAAACCCAATTCCGACTCTGTTCCATTTGCTGAGTACTGTGGATCTTCAAACTGGTTTCAGAGTAATGAACGCCTATCATCCTTTCCCTACCGAACCTCGTTGACTCTGACATCATCATATGTGCCGCATGTAGTTAAGACGATGCTGCTTGCTTATTCAAGCAAGTGAAAGAGATGACTCGCTTAAGATTTCTTCCGCTGATGGTGATTGGTGTTTTCTGTAGTTGGTTGTGCAGCTTCATACTCTCTATCTTCTCTTCACTCACCTGAAGTCTTGTCTTCGCTGCCCCCACCCGGCCGACGTGTTGGTTTCCGCTTGTCAGTCTTCGAGTATACGCGACAAGTTACATAAATCATCTGCAAAGTCCAGATCTTCTTGGGTCTTTTTGTTGATCAGACGTTGGCTCGTTTTCTCGCTCCCAGAGGTGTGGTGTGTGATCCAGTCCACGGCAATGAGGAAGATCGTAGGTGATAAGTAAGCATCCCTGTCTTACTCCCGTCATCAATTCAAAAGATTCACTGAGCTTTTCATGGCGAACCACTTGTCATGTGGCATCCCCATGTAACAATTTCTAAATGGCCAAAATTGATGGCACTAAGCTTAGTGCTGAAGATGCAGAAGATGACGACAAATCAAGGCACCATGATAAAATCTAACTCAAAATCAAATACATTCATATGACAATTGCTACATATGACTAAACGTGAGTCGTACATTCCACAGTTAGCCAAACAAATAAAGTATCCATTGGTACAGCAATGTATATCAGATAACATTTCAAAGCACAGACATTAATAATTTAAGAAGATAAAAATAAAAAAAAATTAAATGAATCCTGACGTTATACTTTTTCCCACTGCGTTGCTAAAAAGATAGTGGGTTGAAATGAAGAAATGTTGTCTAAACTTTTGCGTGACTCCGCTAATTTACTTATCAGAGTTGTTGTTTTTTTAAATTCCCTGAATAAAATAATGAAAACTCAGACATTACTTGAACATCAATTCCCATTACAAAACAGACTTATGGTTAAGTTGTAATGTACTGAGATATCCTGTAGAAGTTAACTGTCTTTGATCACAGATGTTTGTGTTTTATCTCCCGTGTTAAGTGGTACAATACAGTGAGTAATACTGCGGTTAGAAGTTAAGTGGTAAGTAAGGAGGGTAAGTCAATGGATAAGGTTGTGCATCTACGCCAACTGAAATGGTTAGGACACATATTGCGCAATCCGAGCCAACGCCTTCCTCGACAAGCGATGTTAGCTAACATAGGACTAAGTTGGAAAAGAGCTGAGAGTAAGTCAAACCAAAACCTGTAATGAATCCATGAAGTTGTTGACCGTCAGTATGAGACACGTAGTGAGGTATAGCTTGCCTGGTTGGGGTCCTCAGAATTCTAAGGACCAATGACTGGTGATATGGTTCTAAGGCTGTTTTCAATGGCGTAGATGCACTCATCCTTTGTAATCTTCGACATTTATTAAATCCTTATGTTTTCATATGTTACTCTTCAGCACATTTATGCTTGTAATAGTTTTTTCTGAACATTTTTTTCTTTCCTCGACCAAGCTATAGCCCTCCAAGTCGATTAATGTTAGCTGACATAGGATTAGGTTGAAAAAGAGTTAGAGGTGCTAAAATGAAAACCTAGAATCAATCTTTAATGTCTTTAACTGTTGGTTTGAGCCCACCATGTAGGAAGGTGTAGACTGCTTCGAGGTGCTAATACCTATTGGTTATAGCGACTTGAAATGCTGCACTTCTGTGTAAAATTCTGCGTTGAAGCTCAGCCAATCAAACATGTGTTGTTGAGTACTAGCCTAGGCTTTTAATTACATTGCAGCACTGTTACCGGTGGTTGGAAGACTGACAAAATAATAAAAATACAGCATTCCAATCATAATCATCAGAATTTACGAATGAATTACTAGACAACGAACGAGATGCATATATATAAACCCAGCGAGTTGAAATATTCTTTATTGACTTTCACTATAATGTGTTACTTTGATAAGAAATGAGACATAAAAATAAGGGAAAATATAAATTAGACTCCCAAAAAACACCTGGATAAACTGATAAGGCTTGCTTTTCTAATGAAAACAAGTTTAGATTGTAAAGAACAGATGTTATGATGACCACCAGGTAGACAACAACACAAATAATACACCACATACGAATATATATATATATATATATAGAGAGAGAGAGAGAGTGAGAGGCTGCCTATTATTACCGATGATATTCTCAATTGTGGTGGACTGGATCATGCATCAGACTGTGGGAGTGAGAAGGCAGGAATACGCTGGACCACCGATAAGAAGACTCTAGAAGATCTGGATTTCGCGCGTGGATGATTTGTGTTTAGTGTCATACAAACTGGAAGACTTTCATGCGAAAACCAACAAACTGACTGAAGAGGCAGGCAGCGAAGACAGGACTCAAGGAGAACATAGAGAAGACGGAGGTAATGAACATAAGCAACCAACCAACAGCAACAACAACAACAACCAGCACCAATCACACTATCAACAGCAGAAATTTGAAAGAAGTTACTTCCTTCACTTATCTACGAAGCATCGTTTCAACCATATGCGACAGCACGAATAAAGATGTCAACACCAACCAGAATCAGAAGGGCAAGACAAATCTTCATCCACCTGAAATCAGTTAGGAAATATTCTCCACTCAGCATAAACAACAAAATTCGGATTTCCAACACCAATGTCAAGTCAGTCAGTTCTTTCATATGAGTAAGAAACTCGACACGCGCGTCACGAAAACATTTCTAACAGCATACTGCAAACTTTCATCAACAGATGCCTCCCCTGACTCCATATTGAACATCAGATGACCGAACAAAAAGAATCACCAACAAGGCATCTGGCAACGAACCAACCAACAACCTATAGCTCAACAAATATCACAAAGAAAGTAGAGGTGGATCGGACACACGCTGAGGAGGCCGTTGGACAACATAGCACGTTAGACGCTCGAGTGTAACCTGAATGGGAAACGAAGAGTTGGGTGTGGATACGAGGGTGACATGGAGGTGATTGTGCAAGGAGATGAGAGATTATGGACAGTTGTGGCACCACGTCAAAACGACAGCAGAAAATAGAACAAAGTGGAGGTGTGTTGTTGAAGCCCTGTGTTGCACTCGGAATCCAAGGGAGTAATATATGTATATTGCAATGTTCGTTCACACACAGTGATAATTTCTTGATTTTGGTTGGAAATAAAAGCACTTAAAGACCTAAGAGTCGATAAATCCATTGTAATTGTTCAAGCAGACACAGGAAGTACAACAGTTAATACTTAACAATCCCTTACTCCCTGATCGCCAATTCATCAGATACGAACACACAAACAACGAAAACAAAACGGTGAAGGAAACACCAATTGTTGGTGGACAGATGAAACAAAAAAATAATAAGTCAAAATGCTTTGAAATTATGCCGAAATTGTGCAATATACCTCGGCTATAAAGTATGATAAAACTGCATAAAGAAGATTTTCCGATAAGACATGGTAGATTTCAGAAACACTCCACTGTATATGATGCTGCCAAGACTTCTTGCAACAATACTAACAGTACCTGTAACGGAATAACTGTTTGGCGAATTCCTCCCGTGAACGACCTAATAACAATATTTATACTTATCTGGATGTTTCAACTAACTTAGTAATTATTATCCGTCTTTCTCTTTGACTGCATGTCATTATTCTGACATTTGCATATATTATGCCGAATAGTCCCTGTTTAATCTCTCAGTTTAATCCTTCTTTCTGTGGTTGTACGATACACTGATCACGTGTTATTTTACGATGTGATTTTGTTTGAGTGAATCAAAATCCTTCTGACCTTGGACTGCCTATGGGGAGCATCGATGTGTGATTCTTGTGGACAGAGTTTCGACCTCACCTTGTTGAGGATATTCCAATTGATTCTCAGGTACTTCTTATGGGTGAATTTCGGTCAACTTATTTTGTTCTACAGAGTAACTGTCTTGTAATTACAAAGTCACCTTGACTGTATAGCACCCTAACGGCATTTTTGAGATAATTTTGAATTTTTGATCTCATTACTGCTGAATAGAATCACATAGATCCCAACAACAACAAAACTATCTTTTGGCAGTCTTTGGAGCGTCTTGTGACTGTGTGTGTGTGTGTGTCTCAAGGAGGTTTTGGTTAGCTATAACAGTAGAATCCAGATATCCGTTTCTTGGGTTCAAACCACAACGAGTCGGCTTTATTCATAACAATACTAACACGAGTCAATTCGACAGTTAAATTAGTAGATTTCGATTTGAATTATAGTGAAAAGAACAAGAAGTTCAGCAAAGATATCTATTTTCCGCGATTTAATTTCTAAAAAGCTGTACAATCGCATTTATATACATTAGTTTACATGGATACAATTATCATTTATTTTAATTCCACATAGTAATGAAGGTGATAATAGTTTTCAACTTGAAAAAAATTATTTCTCCAGTTATCAAATATTAATTTTGCATATGTTGTAGCTGTTTTCTAATCCTATGTAATCTTGTCTCTAAGCCCCTTGTAATCTATATTTGTACCTTGAAACTTTCATATCAAGTTGAAAACTATTATCTCCTTCGTTACTATGTGGAATTAAATAAATAATATTTGTATCCAATGTAAACTAATGTATATAAATGCGATTGTACAGCTTTTTAGGAATGAAATCGCCAAAAAGAGATATCTTTGCTGAACTTCTTGTTTCTCTTCTCTCTAATGTCTCGATGGGTACTTTCCATCAATTGAATTAATTAAACAATCTAAAGACATTAAAAGTGACAAGGTGGAAATGTAAACAGTCTACATCCTAAAATACCTACTAAAAGTGGCTGAACTGGGAAAAAACTAAATAATAAAGATGATTATCTAGAGGACAGAACACAATTATATGTAGAACAGATAATGTGAGAGGGGGCGAAATTCACTCTGACAACAATGCACTTCACATTTGTACAAAAGGTATACACCAATAGAATGAATGAATGTATAGCCATAGCCTTACGTAGTTATTCGGGAAAATGCACTTAGACCACTGTCATGTGATCAGTGTAAAATGATGGTGAAGATATCAAAATCGAAAACTTATCGTAGTGTCTCTGTCTGTCTGTCTGGATTCAACATAGAACTTGGCACCGAAGTGCAGCAGTTCGAGTTGCCACGTTCCAAATAGCACACAAAGGTAGACAAGAAAATGAGTGAAGAGAATCAATAGAGTTTTGACAGGTATAAGAGTGAAACACAATGAGTAATGGTAGAAAGGAATATGAAAGATTACAAAGACTGAATACATCTGCGTAAGCCATTGACAACGATTTTGAGCCATGTCACCTATTATCTACAGCCATTGATTCTTAGAGTCCCGAGGGCCCCAACCCGGAAGTCTGCATCTCCCTACCTGACTCAGTTTAACTGTCAGGGATTTCATGGATTGATGCCATGTTTTTGTTTGGCCACCACTTACTCTTTTCCAGCCTGCACCTATATCAGCTAGTAATGACCGTCGTAGTGTGTGTGTGTGAACAACCATTTAAAAAAATATAATTACAACTATAATTGATCTCTGCATATGCATAATATATATACATGATCTAATGTGATGTGAAGACAGTCATTTTAGACTGACTGATACACACAAACAACAAAGTTATACACAATCTAACCTTTTTTAAGCAGCTCTTTGGGATGTGAAGTTGTATCAGGATGAAAGAAATCCAAACGTTCAATAATTTCAGGATATTCTTTCTGATAATTTGGAAGTGAAGATAACAAAGAATATATAGATGTATATACTAAATAAGCAAGATTATAAATATGGTATTATTAAACATTAAACATTCTACAGCCGACAAATGATCAATGGATGTGTGAAGGATAAACTGCCGCTTTGGGCCACCCCAATGTGTGTTGATAAATTCAGCTGCTCGTGTGGAGCTAGTTATATTGGCCGAACAAAGCGCACACTTTCCAAATGCATCTCTGAACATTATCCGGCATGGTTACCACAAGGACAATGCAAGACAATTACTAGCTCAATTCTCAAGCACTTGGTGAACTCAGGCCACGTAGCTCCACCAGAGCCGTCTTTCGAGATCATCTACAAGGTGACGCCAAATGGTACAAAGGGCGTCAGGTTTCGGCTTTTGTGTATGACGGAGGCTCTGGCAATTCGTCAATACAACGCCGAACTCTGTATACAGAAAAAGTTTATCCAGTCTCTTATTCCACCTTGGTCTTGACCTCTTCACTAGTTGTTCCATGTAAAAAATTTTGATTTTCTTTTTTTTCTTTTTTAATTTCCAATTTTACCTTTAGTTTGCTTCTGCTTTAATAATTAATTAACTATTATCACTCTCATAAGTTCCTTTTGTACATTTTTACACCCTCTTCACACTATTTAAATGGACACTCAACTACCTCTATTCTTACTCAATTGCAATTTTAACCTTATCAAATTTCTTCCTATGTGCCGTTGAGTACCACATAATTTACAACTTTTATTTTTTACTTCTAAAGCCACTTTCGAGTAATTATATCAATTATGTCACCCCCTATTACTCAATAACAGACTACTGTACATTTTTGGTAAATGCAAATACGACTGTACAGCAGCCTCTGAAGATGATTTCGTCGATAAAGAAAATTTTCCTCGCTAAATTTGTCTTTTATTTTCTTCACGACATTAGATTTTCTCGTAATTGTTGTTAAGCTTTGAATTAATGCTGATATTCAACATGATAAATTAATAAAGCATGGAAATACAAAATATATTGATGAACTATTTATTTCTTCAAGTCCGTCAGAATCACTAAGTCAAGAATATCATGGATGACATAGAAAAGAATAACAACATAATATTTACGGGTTTGAAGGAGGTATAGTTTATGGACAACTAATCACCTCTAACTTCAGTGTTAAAGTAAGTTATATCAGACGTGTTTCATACAGAGGATTGTGACCACATGAATCTATGAAATATTTAATACAAGACTACTGCAGCGGTTATATAGCGCTGACTGATAAAAATGGTTGAAAACTATTCACATCAAACAATAGTGCTTGCTAGTTAGATGGAATTTATCTAAACACTAGAAAGTCGTTTCCATCGATCGGAGTAGAGCGCATCGTCAGTGTACCGTGATTATTGATTCTGCTTAGAGGGTTGAATAAAATAAAATCAATTGGGATCATATTTATGTACTTGGCAGCCAACCGACGTAGAACTTACTGTTGAACAAAGTAGTGAAGATGGGTCAGTTACATAATATGGAGAGAGCTTAAAGCAATATCACACAATTTATAGTTATAAAACCCAGGTACTTCAAAAGAAAGTCAGTCTAATGAAACTCTATGCTGTCAGTAGCTGATTTCAGTATGCAGCAAATAGACGTAGTGATAATGACTTTGAGAATTTGTTTCTGGATAGGAAACGGGTTGTAATCCGTAAGAAACTTACCACGGAATAGTTTACAAAGCTAGAAAAACAACTTTTCTGCAGGTGAACGCCAGCTTAAACACACACACAAACACATCTGCAATCAATACAACGATACCTGACTTACTTACCTCCCTTACCTGAGAAATAAACATCAGTAAATTGTTTCTGTTAATATTAAAAATGCATCACCGCACACATTGGTTACTTTTTGGTCAGAACTGCACTCTCCACTCTAAAGACAAACGATTGCAAATAGCGATTCAGTTCACTGATGTAGCTTTGCTTCCAATGCCCATTCGAACACTAACATGCTATGAAGTTATTTTCGTTAGTTGTGGACTAGCAGTGGAATACACGTTGGGCGTTTCGTCCAAATTCTGAGTTCACCAAACGCATGTACCTTTATTCCTAAGTAAGTTGTGGCATTCTCGGTGGGACTTAAACTCTAAACGCAACGACGCGAACAGCATTACTTACTGGAAATGTAGATACCTTCACTTGATGAGTCCTAAATAGCACGAAATGTGCATCCTAGATTCCAAAGTTAGTCACCATTAACCAAAATAATCATGATAATCCTTAGATATTGCCGAAGTGTTCATACTTAGGAGCCGACATTTCAACAGAGACCGATCATTTCTGTCCAACATAACTGATCAACAGGAAATGCAAAAGTAACCTTGTAACGACAGATGACAAAAGACTTGGTAACGGGAATGTTTATTTGGAATTTGGTATCTCTATATAGCGAAAGTATGTACACCTTATTTGAAAATTGACATTTACACAGATCTTCGGTGTGTTGTAACCACTTCTGCCCTTCGTACTGTGCTTCTTTGTCTTCTTTCCGTGTCTCCCATGTTTTGCTGAAACGCTGATTCATTTGCTCTATTTGACGTCAAATCTATCTCTCCGCTATTTGATATTTTTATGCCGATAAACGTCCCCTTACATACTACTGATAAATCTTATCAGTAGCACAAGCCACACTATGTTGAGAATGTGCTCGGATGATATGTATACTTTTAGACTATTTGGAGTCATATAATATGTTTAAAACACCTGTGTACACGAATAAAACAATATAGAAAGAGCGCACAAACAAGTAACGTAGGTGTTATTTACTGGACTAATGAGTCACATATTCATTGTGTGAATGATTAATGATACTACCCAGTTGTCTATGCTAAAGTAGGCGGAACGGGAATTGAACCCTGGACCCGTTGACAGAAAGTTGAGTACTTAGACCAATGAGCCATATGTCTACACTCTCCAACAAGTAGAATGAGAGTCAGACAGCGTCTGTGAATATATATACAGTTATACTCAATTTCTATTTCATCTAAATATTGTAAAGGCTGTACTGCCACCTAGGAGATTAAAATAGAAACACGTAGTTGTTATTTGAGTAGTTATCTCATGTGGGTTGAATTTCCTTTTAATTCATAAATAAATTAGGATACCATAAGCAATACTGGTCACTAGACATACTGGTGAGAAAAACGATTTACACGGAAGATATCTTATTTCCTTTAGGAGAAAAAACACATCAGTGAACAAATCAATTTAGCACAAGGGAACATTCGGTCGTTTCCCTTTTCAGTTTTGTTAGGTAGCAGAAGACAGTATTCGTGAAACCAGTTAGTTAGAAACCAAATTACGTAGAACTCAATTGCCTGAAACAGATTTTTATGTACCAGACTATGAACTACGCTTTGTGTGTGTGTGTGTGTGTGTGTGTAAGTGGACTGAAGATCCTAACTAGTCTCACAGGCTGAACTAGGTACAGAGAGATCAGAGTCGGGTAACCAGTGGCAATAGTCAGTTTTTAAGGCAACTAACCATATCTCAAGTCAAAACGATAAACATAAGGTAGATCATGAATGCATGACGCTCTATACCACTGATCGATTGATATCAGCAGCTGGATACCACTCGCACCAACCAGTACTGCTTGCTAGCCATATCGAAGTGATCTAAACTGCGGATGGCTACTTCGCCCACTTACTGTCGAACTTAGCGGCGGCTTTCCCAGTTCTGACTCAACTCAGGAAGCCGAATGAGTTCAAACCTCCCGATTTCTGGCTAAATACTTGGACAAACTGATAAAAGAATGAATCAAATTCGCAATATGTGGTCTGCTTGATACCATAAATGACATTCAAGAAAGCAATCATGAATGGATGACACTACGTACTACTAATTGGTTGAAAACTTGCAAATCGTGAATCGGATATAAGGTAAATCAATTCTAGAACAATGCAGCCGACAAATTCTAACGTGAAATCACTCGAGGCGTTCTGAGCAACCTCACAGACTTTTGGGTCTACAATCGTACGTATGCAAAATATGACAGTGTGCCGTAGTATGAAAGATGGAGTGTTTATGAAAGAAACAAATTACACATTTGATAAGATGTAACACTTACCTCAACGCACGATTTAGGTAAGTAACCTGAATGACGAGATTTCAATGAAGTGGCTAGTAACCAATCCGAGTTCGGGTCTTCATGAACCAATAAGAAACGATCGTCAACAGCACATCTAAGAGGGATAAAAAATAAAATTAGTTACTACAAATTAGGAGTGAAGCGTGCCTATGACTTGAAGACTTCCGAAGTAAACTGAACTGAATTTTCAAAGCAAAACTTTGCACGAAAGTAAGGTATTTTAAATTGCTATAATCCACTAAATGTACACATAAGGATAAATAGAAAATATACAAAGAAACTATATTGGGCAGAAATTTTTGCAACAATCCACCTTTCACTTGTTCTGAAGTTTCATGGTATGTTATAGAACAAGTGGTTTTTATAGTTTGTTGTCACAATTTGTGGGGCTATCTGAATCTGATGGGAAGTTATTCAACTTCTGAAAATATGTCATAAAACAATTTTAAAAAATTTAAATTTACCAAATTAAGTTTATTTACTCACCCAAGTCGGTCATAAGCATTATCTGGCTCAAAATCCTGAATAGCGCGTAAGCGTTGTGTATGATATTCAATAGGAAGCTGAAATTATTCGAAAATGAAAGTTTAGCAAATTCAAAGTGAAAATAGAGAATACCAGCAACAAAGGTAGTGGTGGACTTTAAAATATCTGAAAGTAATATTGTTAGACCACCTCTCATTGACTTACTTCGTATGGTGCTTATTGATGTTAGTACTTAGTTACCAGGAATAGATTTTTCATATGGCAGACCATGGGTAACACTGATTATGTGAAGGCTGGTGATACTAGTCAGTTGTCCATACTGCAGTAGGTGGAAGGGGTTGAGAATTCTGGGCCTATTAACTGATAGCTGAGTGCTTAAACTAATAAAATATACCCCTGTGGCACGGAATGGTGTGATATTGCTTACTAATTGGAGACGTCTGTAGGACAGTTAGTCTACTGCTTACAATAATGTTTTTTTAAAGAATCACACAACTCGCTGACTTGCCACCTGTCCCTTGGTATTATTGATATAACAGTATTCCATCGGATATCTAGATTTCCTGTTACCATTTTTATTGCAAGTGTTTAGTTTTGTTTCAATGAACAGACTGATTGATCAGCGCCTTCCTGCAGCTAACTACACTACTCATTAAGAATGCTACTCTTTCCTGCTCTATTGCAGAACTGTTGCCAATGTAAGTATGCTGTTATTTGAAATTCGGAGCGAAACTGAGTGCGAATATTTTAAAGTATCCATATAATTGGCGTAAAGTATAGTTTGATAAGTCTGGAAATAACTGAAATTGTACGACACACCTATATTTTACCTATTCACTTATTTGAAAATAAACTTTGCACAGTATTAACACCATGAAGTGAGTTACATAAAATAACCCAATAGAGATTTCTATTCAAATGCAGTTACATATTTTATATGAGGTTTGAGATACTGCCTAGAAGTACAGACAGAAACAAATGGTTATCCTAAGTCACTAGTCCCGGAGCCTTGGAATCACATCCGATACACATGGTGGAAGAGCAACGTGCTTCCGCGAGTGTCGGCAACCATTTGTGTGCACCAGAGGTTCGGAATCAAGGTTTCCTGGTTCTCTTAAGTGAGTCCAAAATTTATATCAGTGTCGTAGAGGAGAACGGACACTAACATTCGCCCTCCCGCTTTTATAATAATAGTCAAAGGCAGTATGGAGGCAATGAATACAGCTTACCAGGCATGGGATATGAATATGTGGCTACATGAGAGTAACTTGAAGGGAAGAGCGAAGTCCGCACACCCACATCTGTATTAGGTCATTTATGGAAAGCATTAACGAACAGAGGAAATATCATCCCTAATGTAACTGTTAAGTATAATTTCCCCCGCCCTCAGAGGAAGCATTGATTAAATTTGGTCAGCATTCTGCAGTAATAGCATTTTATAATCAAAACGAATTGTACACTCCACAGAATGGAGGCCATTCACGTAAGTTCGTGTGAATGATAAGATATCGTAGGCTCGTAACAGTGAAGAGAATCTGACTGGTAAATAAAATTTTTTTGTAAGAAACTTTCACATACTGATTTCTAAAATATAATACTAATAGTAGTAATGACAGCAACACCAAACATTAAATGCAGAACAAGACCGATAAAAACATGCAATTCAGTCAGCGTATAACAATATAAAGGGTAAGACTCTACAGACTAGATGTATAAGGTACTATATGGCGTATGATGTAAATCTACTTACCATAAAAAGTGAAAATTATACACGTATTGTTGCATATTACTCATGTACGCTTCATAAGAGCTATAAATTCTTAGTTAACTTATAAAAGAAAAATATTTTACGTGGTACACAACCATTCGAACATTTCTAAAAATATTTTAAGTACTCATATCAGACTTGCATTATAACAGATTTTTTAAACATTTACATTTTACATTTTTACATTTACATTTTTACATTTTTAAACATTAACCAGCATTCACAATCATAATATTTTCGCTTTCATGCCTTACCAATCATGCTTTGTTGTTGCAAGTCATTTTAGTGACTATTGGTGGCGAGTTATTCAGAAAGAAACCTCCCATCGTCAAGTCATAACAAATTTACACCCATCTGAGTACTTGCATTAAAGTTACAAGTTACGTACAAAACTTTTACTAAGCACTATGGGACAGACCCACTTAACTAGGAGTCCGAAAGAGATACAATTCTAGCAGTTGTTAAGTCAGTGAAAAAATAGAAAGTACATATGGCAAGACGAAGTGATAAGCCCAAATGACACAAAGATATGTGGATGCGACACTCACATTGCACACATATTATATCTAAGTCTTCATTGAACTGTGTCCATTTTTACACCAAGCTTAATATAAACATTAAGTAGGAATATTTTTACGTTGAAAATAAAACACTACGTATGTGAAACTTGGAAAACACCATGAAATATTGATATGAATGCAATAAATAAATACATGTATCAACTTACACTAGTAGGTGGGATGGGATGTTTAAGGCGTTCGCCTGTCATTATGTCACGGGTGTAATACCTCGACAAACAGCCATCTAAACTGTCGAAAAATCTTCCACCAAGTTGAAAGCAATGGAAACGTGGAATAAGTCTGCATAATACTTAGACTGGTTACTATATTTATCTACCTGAAGTGAAAACAGACACGCGCTGAGGAAAGATATGATAGGACATATATGTTCTCCCATGTATCATTGCCATGAGTTGTACGACTTAGACGTAAAAGATAACTGTTTGGTATATTGAAAGTTTGTAGGCGCTTCTCTGCCTCAGCCCGATCAATGTAACCGTGATAATATCTACAATGCAGTTAAAGAATTGATATATCAAGTATATGAAATATAGAATTTAGTAAATAGGATATTTGACAAATTAACCAGTGAATATCAAAATTTAGTACGGTTGGACTTTTATTGGAATTTATCTTTCATAAACTTATGTAATTCCATTTATTGGATACAGTCATCTTTCTTAATATGTTATTGAAATGAATACATCAATACTACATAAATTCATTGAAAACCTTTCAATAAAACAGGAACTCATTTCTAAGTAAATTAACATTTCTAGGATTCTGTTTAATTTTTGCATTATTTCTTAAGTAAAATACGTCAAAAAACTTATTAACGGTTTAACTAGTAAGTGCCGTACGAAGCGGGTAGCCACATATTAGACTAACTGCGTGTAACAGAAAATAACGATAGGTGTTTGGTGGTGGGTGACTTTAAGACCACATATTAATTAGAAGGAAGCAACAACAGCTGGCTCATACAACCACTTTAACGGTGAGCTCTTGCCGAGTGTGTACTAGTAAACTTTATCGAATCACGAGCCTCCTATGCTGAACATGGCGTTCACACATCAGAAGGATATTAAGGGACTTTTGATACCTCCAACCACTGCGCAACAATGATCACATATTCACTTAGTCTACATCTAAAACAAGACTTGAATCATTGAAGGATGCGGCGGTACACCGTCTTCAGAGATTACAACAGGAACTTAAATAACCTGACAGCATATTGCTGCATTATTATTACGGTCCAAAACATGTTTCGTGTAGAGAAATATGCATTGTTGGTGACGAAAAAGTAGAGTTCGGGGCCGCAATGGATTTGTTTTACGGCTCTACTTGTAGCCAAAAGGAAATACAACTATTAGACAAAATTTGCTTAGCTATATTGGTATTCATCGACACCGGCACCCTACTCGACCGTGTCTAACTTGGGCTTACTGTGCAAACTAGAAGGTTTCGGCTTGGATGGCTTAAGGACCACCGACGTACCAAAACTAAGTTCTCTGAATCGCACCTTTCATGTATCAGGCCATGAGCGACATTTACTGTATGACTTTACTATGCTAACCGGTTGCCCAAGCTTCGGAAAGTGGAGCGAGCTTCAAACTCAGAACCCAGTGGTTGGGAGTGGCTAGACAAATCCCCATACTCCATTCAACGCATGTTAGACCTTATCTTTACGACAGCCTACAGGCTTCCACTCACTACTTTAGGAAAAGAACACGTCTTAGAAGAAGTACTAAAGGAAGGCACTAGACTGATAAAGGAATCTGTTGCCTCGGCTACGAAGAAGGATGGAAATATTAAGTCTAGCAGTACCATACTGTGGAAGGACATGCGACCCAACTTTGATATATCGTGAAACAAATTGTGCAGGATACCTCTAAAACATGATCAAAGATAGGTGCTTGAACTTCGGCCAAATAATCTAGGGTTGAAATTCAGACTCTTATACACGGTAGCAAACTATTGGAGGTCATTACTGAGACCAGTGGTATCTGCTGCCTTACTGAACGCTTCCATAGATGCTCGATCACAACTAAGGACATCATCAAGCCTACTGCTTCACCCCGTGAAGACTAGTAACTTCAATCAACTATATTTTTTAATCGGAGCACCTTTTAGATGACGCCAGTCGAACTCACAATTCCTAAAAGTAATCACGAAATATTCCCGTTAATTCATAAGGAAAAACAGTTTTCGTTCGGTGGAGAAATATTTCTATTCAACGACTTCATTTTCAACCTGTACATTCGTAATTATACTACGGTAAAAGGCATTAAGTGGCACTAGAAATTGCTCAATCAACATACATATGTTAAGAATAAGGATAATTAAAATGTAATAAGGAGGTAGAGTTGAAGTGGGTGAATTACAAAACTAAAAGTAAACCAAAATACACATCACCATATATAGATTTTCCTATTACCCTACGAATCCTGATTTAAGTGTGTAGCTATTGCACTTCCAAGACAACATAACTCCATTAAAATAACAGCTTTCGTGAGAAAAGATATTTCCGGTTACTACAATTGACACAGAAAATATCCATAAAATCCATTCCCGTAGGGATAAATGACGAACGTATTTGAGGAACCAAAGTCTAAGTGAATAGCAACGGGCACACTAAGGAACTCCACAAGACAGGATGATGGCGAATTGTTCGTAACACCGACTACTGTTGTAAGCTTCTTCAACTAATTAAATCATACAGAACCAACCAGTTGCTAACACTGTAATAGCTATTACAGTGCTCTCGTACATTGATCTGTAGTTCAACAGTGGTGAATTCTCAGTTTTGTCACGTTTTGAGGTGGACATTGCCTATTTAGTTGTGACGGTCTATTAGAAGCTTACAGTTCTCAAAAAGTACAAGAATGACAAAAAAGTATTGAAAGCTCGCCCTTACTGTTCTAATGATGGAAGGTTCTGAACAACGCAGATATCCTCGGTTGTTGCCTCCGGCATACAGTAAGACAAACGTTTTACATGTAGTGACCTTCCTAACGAATTTCCCACTTTATATTCAATATCCAATAACCTCTCAGTAGAGTTTCCATTAACCCTGAAATTTTCAGCCCTCATTTCTTGCTGTTTCGAGATATTCCAGGCCTTTTGTGGGTCTCACTGCAGCCTACTGGCTGGAATACTACAGCCCCGCTAAACGCGATAAGACGAGGAATATCAAATATTGTTAAAGGTTCCTGGTCTTCGGTAAATTTCTGCGTAGTTCGTCCTGCCACTAGACGGACGTAGCTTCAGTTGACTCCAAAAGGAGTGGCGCTGGGACTAATTATATGTAGTTTGCAGTATGTGGTGTGTTAAGACCGTGTTGCCACCGTGAATGGAGTTGATCCTTTCCCCGTTAGTCGCCCAGTGTCGTCAACAGAGGAGATAATAATAACAGATATAATTAGTATTGGTTATTTAGACTAACATATAAAAGGAATGAAAACATAAAGACAGACAGCTAATGAAATTAGAATTTGAAATATATACTGGGTGTGTGTATACATCACCAGTAATAATAGTATAGGGGAAGTAATATTTGAAGTAAAGAGGACAGTAAGACACGAGAGAATGTGAAGAAAACGATAAGTTTACGTATCTGTCCATTAGGTCTGTGGGATTTTGAGGGGATAGGCCGTTTGCAATCAGTCCTAGTGTCACTGCATGATTGTCCAGCCGTCGCTTAAAGCTGTCCTTAGCTACATCTGCAGGTAAAGAGTTCCGAGGGTGACGAACTCGAGGTGAAAAGAAGTGGGAGCGCACTCGAGTCTTCGAGAGAATGCATGCAGTGTACCAGTAATAATAATTTGCTTTATTCCAAAACAGTACTTGTGATACAGCATGGAATTCTCAGTATTTCACTACAGTATTGCATCCAGTTTGTACATATATATATGTACAATAAATAAAATTCTACATAGATTACGGATAGTCTCAGTTGATTTTGACAGCAACATATTAGCATATCGGTAGCAAAGCTAAAAGTGAACAGAGTGCCTGAAGGCGTTAGAAAAGTAGATACTAGCACATTTACTGGCGTAAGCGGTAACAGTAAGAGCAAGTACCTGAAAGAATAAGACAAAATTCAAAATGACCGAACAAGTGGATGTTTGAATGGATCGAAACTGTATTCCTCCATAGCTGAACTGCCCCTGCTTTGGATATAAGCAGATTAAGCGTTTCTGCGTAATTTTCTGGCCCTTTTCTGAGGTTTCCGATTGAAGGAGCTATTGCCAAGTCAACCGTCAGGCAATCGAATGAGTAACAAACTGTGTGGGGTGAATAATAATAATAGTTGGAGCCAAGCTTTTTCTTGAAACTCTTCTTGGCTTACTGTGCCATTTTGCGTCTCTCTCTGCTCTATTTGGGGAGTGAACTATTTTTTGGTCAGTGTCTCAGGCCATCAATGGTTTTAGTTGCTTTGTTTAGACTTCCTTTAAAAGAATTGCGATTCTGTGAGGAAGAGGTGGCGCAATAAGTATGTCATTGCATTAAATTTATATGTCTGGCTAGACAGCTCAGACATGCTTAGTGCTTTTATCTCGTCTGACCCCCAGAAATGTCTCAAGATCAGGCTCAGCCTCTTTGTCAAAGCAGCTTCTTCAGAAGTAGCAATTTCGAACTCTTTCCGCTACTGATGTAAGAATGAAAAGTCCGTCAGCTTTGTATCTCTTGAATTCCATGCCGTTTGCTTTGGCTAAGTTTCCTAAGTGTTTCCGGGATTCTAGCTATCTGAAAGTCTTCCCCGTTTTCCATTGTCCTCCCTTGCACTGTCAGCGTTGAAGAGTAGTGAAGAACTTGAGATTATTTATGAATATTGGGGGTATCAGCTGATTAAGAATAACATTATGTGGTACCCAAGTGGATGACGTTCTCCATAAACGTGATTCATTTTACACAAAGTCCCACACCAACTTGGTTGGCTCGAAACTGTTCGTGGTTACTGCTGGTGAAACCAATACGTGTTAGTACCAAGATGAGATTCACCCAAGAAAATCTTATTCAGTTCTTCCTTGATGCCTCTATCAATGAAGGTGAGCATTGTCTCAGCGTTCAGTGAGTGTATTTACTCGAAACAGTTTCCTGTTCGTCGGAGGCAATAATCCCTGAAATGACCTAGACGCTGGTTCGTTAACAGAAGGCCGGAGCAATGCGATCAGAAATTTTGATGTGTATTGTACTGACGTCATTTGTAGAGCTTTCTAGTGGATTGATAGCAACCAACCACTAATCAGATAGTCGAGCTGCTGTATAATCAACAATATTGACTGCTCAGATCTGGATTACAAAAAATGCTTTTGCTCCTAACATCTATGAGCCTGCTCAGCCTTTTGTCAAGATGCTACCCCATGGGCCCTACACAAATTCGCCAGACATCGTACAGGCTGGTATATCCTACAAATTCTAACCTTCCAAGCCACTTCTGTCTGAAACATCACTTATATACTTCACGACAATCCTTTTATCTAATTACTATTGAACTCTATTTTATCTTAACTACCTGGGCACTAAATGCGGCTAAATCCTACTCTTTTCATTCAATAATAATATATATTTCCCTATCAATGTAGGACACACCAGTTGTACAGGCATGGATAAGTATTATTTACATTACATGAATTTGATTTATAGTGAAATTACATGGTTGCTGTCCTCTCTGACATCAGTTAGTGAGCACATTCTGATAGTTAGTCGTTCAATGGAGCACATAAAGAAATATAGAAATATTGTCTTCGCATTAACAAAAAACCCAAGTATGTGTTGGATAAATTACAAATATTTGAGAAAAAAATGAAGCTTGAGGTCAATTCCTCCATAGAACTTTCTTGTGTGCGGCATCGTATCTTGTTTTATGTTCAAATTGGGTATTAATTTAAAATGAGTGATTAATTTTTATGATTTTGACATCATTTTTTTGCAAGTAATACCAGATGTGAATTCAACTGAATGCAGATTAATATTGGTCATTGTCAAGCATATTTGTTTTACTGCACTCTAGTCACCCATAGCCCGCCATTTGTCACAGCATGAATGCTCCGTACGAGTAAGTTGATAAACACGTAGAAAGCTATATAAAAACATTCTTCACATTCTTCGCTCACCTGAAGTCTGGTTACTCTGATGAAAAAACACAACAACAGCACCCATGCTTGAGAAAAACTGTACTTTCATCGTGAATGTCATAGTTTCAATGGTAAGACCAATATGGTTGGTATTATACATTGCAAATGTATACTTTCGTTGCGAGAAGTGTATATTTCCTTCTCGTATTTATCTTGCGAATGTACTTTCAATGATGTATTATCTATAATCGTATTTATACCATTTTGCAGCTTCCCAGGACGTTCACCTTTTCCTGAAATAGCTATTAATCACGTCGGGGCATAGCACCTACCCAGATATATGTTTTTCATTGGTTGGCCATAACCATCAGCAAGAAACGAGACAAGGTTTTGGCTAGGGCTCAACCTTGATGACTAACTTATAGAAGGGTTAACGATTTAACATTCATACGAACCTGTCTTGATTGTTTGTACTATTATTCAGCAATTTAAACTCTTGAAAAATTGCTAATTTATGATAATTCATAATTGTAATTTATAGAACAACTGATCATGCCTGTTAAATTGGCATGCATTTCGTGTAAACTTGCCCGCGATTTATATTATTATTACCATTTATAATTAGCGGATCAATAAATATTCGACCTGTGGTCATTGAAATCGAGTTTTTTATTATATACAACAAATAGTATCCTGAGTTCCGCAGAGTTGTCTTCCGGCTACGACAAATCTTCCTGATTCCGTCGCTAATATTTTGACTCCGTTCATTATCTACTGTTCCAATTTCCTTTGACTGTGCAGTCATATAATCAACGAAATAGTCATTCTGCCTAACGTGTTTTGCATGAGGGAAACCAGTTTAACCTCAGTGACGTGACAAGTTTTAGTGAATTATTGAATACTTGTTGAAAATTATTGGTGCACTCCAAGTTTGCATACATTGCAATAGCGTGACTCATAAATTGATTTTACCAATATCAGTAAGCTCTTTTTCCACAAAAATTTACATACTGAGGTTACATTCCTTTTATGGATGCAAGACGACGTCAAATGACCGTGATATCCAAAATGTGCGTCACCAAACAGTTAACATAGAAGGCTATTCAATAATAATGAGATTTTGATAACACTTGACTGCTAACACCAAAATTCTAATAACTGTATCAATAGTGACTCTAACTGACTCGCATGAATTCCTGGTGTTCGGGTAAATATTTGCGTCATTAAAATTTCTAAAGGAGTGGCAGTGGAACAGAAAATGATGATGTCCAGTTTGAAGTGTAATAATAGGAACTGCGTTGGTGGCCACCATGTCGTAATTTAGACTTTTTTGGAATTCAGCTTTTTGAATTCAAAGGCGGATCAGGGTGAGAACACTTCAAAGAGATGTGAACAATTTTTGCTAGCCGACCAGTTTGGGACAAAGATACCGCGTAGTTCATAAGGGTTTATGCGTCTTCTACTAAGGTGATCTACACAAGGTGAGAACAAAGCACTTTAATGGCGTCCGGATCCAGACCAGCATCCGTGAGGGAAGGAGATGATAGGAGAACGTGGGGGAATGCCAGCAACAGGCAGAGATTGCGTGTGTGAGAACATATCTGCCGGAAGCTGCATGAAGTTTTCTCCTTTCACTGTGTACTAGCTTAATCCAATCCTCTGTTCCATTGTGTCTTTAAAGAATGGAAATGTCGCTCCTTACGGAAAACCCGAAGGACTTGGAGTCTATCTGGACTAAACCAAAAGCTCTACAGGGTATTGATCACTCTAGCTGCCTTTACAGCCAGGAAGCTGTGTGATGGAGCTAACAACAAATACACCATGGCGACGCATCAAAAAGAATAAAGATCGGTATTCATCTATCGCAACTGAGCAACCGTAGAACGCCTTCATAAA